TATAGTTCCCAAGTAAATGTAACTAGAAGTTGACTCTCAACAAGCTAAGTTTTCTTATTTCAGTGAATCCTAAACTTTCAATAGAACTCTTTTTACACTGGGTTAAATGGTAGAGATTTTCCTCTCAGGTCTAACATCCTATCCTTTTTTTTGAAGTACAATTAGGGGGCAGAGTGGCAAGTCTGACTGGCAAGAAGCATGGCCTTTGGACAATTTAAAGGCTGAAAATTCTTCAGAAATAGAAAACTACTTAAGTGGATGCTTCTTTTAAAAAATAAGAATCAAGTCTCTTAAATGTAACTTAGGAATTAATGGTGCATCTCTGCAGGGGCAGGGACATCAAGTCTAGTCACACTGTTCTCAGAATCATTAAAAGAGCATTAGCATTGGTCAGCCAGAGGCATCCTCCCAAGTTGCTGGTCCTGAAGAAGTGTGCATTCATTCTACACTCATTGATTGAAGCAGACTTTATTAAGAAAAAACAGACTTGGAATTTAAGTTTGTTGGAACGGTCTTTTACGACTGTGGGTCACACTGAAGAACCGTAAGCCAATACTCTTCCAATAACTCACCCTCTTCTTTCATATATTCCTTTCTCTTGCAAACAAATCTACAAGTTGCTGAACGCAGACTATTAAGGATGTCAGGAAAGCTTCCTCTATTCTATCACTTTTACCTTTATTCCAAGGATCCTGATTTCAGGGGATTCTTTCCAATAGTAAACTCTTTAAGGAACGTTGCATAATCTGTGTACTTGAACTGTTAAGAGAAATGGAAAACAACACATTGTGATGTGAAATATCCACCATACACATTACCTTCATGAAATTAATGCCATTTCAATATATTTTTATTGAACGTATTAGATCTTTATTGTTAAAGCTGGATAATTCGGGCAAGTAAGTTCCATAATTTTGTGGAAAATATGAATTTATTACTGGCTTGTCAAGTTCAATGAGAAATTTTCACATAGGCATGTATAAAAGGCCTTTTATAAAAGGCTGAATTTTGCTATCAATAATTTAAACAAAAATTTAAAATACAATGTGGCATTCAGTTTGCTTACTATTGTTCACTGACTTTTAATGGTAATCAGTAAAGACAAAAATGGAAAGCAAACATTCTTAATCTGGTTTTAAAAAAGAAAATTCAAGCAATCTGTATCAGGTTTTGCCAAGTCTGGAGAATCAGTCTGTTAGCAAGTGGTGTGCGTAAATAAATAAACAAAGATGCCAGTAAAATACAACTTGGTAAATAGGCATTACCTATTTAATAAGTACAATATATACATAAAATTCTCTTGAAAAGCTTCATTTTATACAGAAACATATTTACAAAATGAACAGTATAATCAAACTAAAGATTATCTGTACAATGCACACACATATATATATATGAACTTTGGAAGGTAAACAAGTTTCATCATAGTCAAAATGGACAGCCATATGCATTTTAAAAAAGAATTTCATTCCAGAAGAAAAATACATCTTTAATATACAATTATATTTTTCATTTATTTTCCTGAAAATTCTTTGTTTGGATTATCTTCTCTTGTTCAGCCTTGAAAATTTTCAGGTTTCTAGTGCCACCAACTGGTGTTAAAAATTAACAATCTTAGTGTCAAAAAAGAATTGTTTTGTTTTAAAAAGGTTACTGGAAGATAGACCACTGGACTCAGCATCCATAAGGCAAATTAATGATATGGAATAACATGATTGATAAAAATATTTTCACCACGGTAGCATATATAACATTTACAATATTAATGGTTTCTAGTGCTTTTTTCCTTCTACTGGTAAATCTTGGTCTAAAATTACATGTAAAAGTCTTTAGAGTATACTGCAAAACAAAGTTTGGAAATATGCATGACAATGTGATTAGATTCATCTTTATAAGCATCAAGTAGACATTAATAATTTACTAAAATGGCAAAAATCAAATACCATTTTATAGTCTTTGGATTTTTTTCCTTCTTCTTAAAGAATAAACATCAAGCTGTGAAAAAGTTAGGAATGTGCAGAACCACCATGAAAACAGCAATCTGCTCTCAGCGTACCTCAGCAAGGATTCATTTCCCAAAGCTTCACGCCAGAGTGAGACTTCTGGGTCACCTACTTGCACAAGTGAATTAACCCTCTTCCAACAGGGGCTGGTTGTGAGCTGCAGAGGCTTAAAGAGCCGCTCCTACTGCCTCCCAGCTGTTTTCACTAGACCATAAGCTCCGTAAGGACAGGAATTGCCCTGTCTGGTCTGTCTACCAGTATAATGATGATACCCCTGTATGGTGCCTGGCAATAAGAGGTTTCTAATAACTATGTTTATTACATGAATAAATAACATGTTGGTAGCCTGACAAAATTTAATTTCAAGATAATCTGCTTTAAATGGTTATGGATAGAAAGTTTAAAAAAAAAAAAACAACACTAAAGTTTAAACTCATTCTTCTGCCCAAACCCACCATTTTCAATCCTTAAAACTTATCAGGCTAACGTTTGAAGTGGTATGGGAAAAAGGGAGTCACAGCAAGTATGCACTTTAAAAGTGAACCTAGCGAAGTGTATACATATATATACACACACACAAAAATCATTTCCTGCTCAAAGAAACCAAAATACTGCTAACAAAAACAGCATTTGATGTGTTCAATTAATAATAAACACATAAAACAAAATTTCTCCTAGATCTCAAGTTTATCTGGACCATTTTCCTTTTCTAGACACCCCATTCTTCTCTCCATATATTCAGTACAGTAAGGGTAGAAGGTCCTCTAAATGTTTACATCAGAATCTGTCTGTGAATCAGTTTAGACAGAGGGAGCTGATAAATGCACATTTTTGTACACATTTTGCTCAGTCCTGATCCATATACAAAAGGATATAGTAGAAACTAAAGAGCAAAAGGAAAATAAAGCATTTTCTTCAAGTTTTCCACAGTTCCATACATTTATGGGTGGGAAAAGTAATAATAAGTCAAAATATGGTTTATAATTACATTCTTCTAAAATTGTTTAACCATTAAACTTCTCTGAGTGAATGCTGGCACAAATGTTAATATTGGAATGTTTCATTTTCATATGTAATATATGTATGCAAAAAAATGTATATATATTTTTAAGGTGTATAGACATAGAATACTATGGTTCTGATCACTATTTGGTCTCCATTAATATATTTTGTGTCTTGGGAGGAAAAAAACAAATATTGTAGTGTATGAATCTATATCACATAAGAAGCTATATAAATTTAGTTATGTTGACTACTCTAAATAGTCTTTGGGAGTATCGACAGTATTGTCAAAAACAACTAGGAAAATAATTCAGATGTGATTGCACTTACCCTCTTATTTCTTTATTTTGATAAATTATTACTGGTAAAAAGAACAAGATACGTTATGGTAAGGCTAAACGTTTTATAGCTATTTTAAATATAAAATGTTTCTGAACTTGTATTTCCATTCTGAAGTGAAAAGATTTTGTTTTTAGATGACAACATATAACTCAATAGACAGAAAAAATGCTACATTGAATTACATAATCCTTAGTAACTAATCTTTTTAAGCAATGTTCATTTAAAAAAAAAAGTTAAAACACATTAAAGGGAAATTGCCACCATAAGCCCAGCCCAACTTTTAAAGCCACACAATTCTTGTTTTTTTGGGTTTTTTTTGCGCTACGTGGGCCTCTCACTGTTGTGGCCTCTCCCATTGCGGAACACAGGCTCTGGACGCGCAGGCCCAGCGGCCATGGCTCACGGGCCCAGCTGCTCCGCGGCACGTGGGATCCTCCCGGACCGGGGGACGAACCCGTGTTCCCTGCTTCGGCAGGCGGACTCTCAACCAGGGAAGCCCTGCCACACAATTCTTTAAAGGCTTTTAATCCACCGCAAAGCTTACTTCTGTTAAGGGGAGAAAGAAGTTGGCGAAAATCCAAAACGAAATTGAGGCTTGCTGCAACATCTGTGTATGTGCCAAGGTATCTACTACAGAAATTATCTGAATATAATGAAATGTGAAAAACCACACACAAAAATTAAAATAAGTGAGAAATTACAAGAGGTGAGAAAAAAATTCAATGACAGAAATACTGATACTATGACTGTCAACATTTAAGTGTACATCATAAATATTGTAAAACTCCAACAGGATACATAAATTTGGTTCTAAAATTCCTTTGGTTACGGAGATGTAATTATTTTGTATTTTAAATAAATATACCAAACATATCATATCTGGGGACTGTAAGATCACCCCACTATAATATATAATTATACCAATAGTAAAGAATGGTGCACAGATAAAATGGTTAACAGTGCCATATGCTGGATTTTCTTGGGAACTGGTTCTTTATAAATATCTTAAATTTATCTTTATACTTGATGTCAGTAAAACTAAAGTACTTCAGTTTCAAAGAATTCATTATTCATCTCTCTGTTCTAATGAGACTAATCCATTTCACATTTTAAAATATAACTGAAGTCCACAGGAATTCTCTAAATGAGCAGATTATTTAAAGTCATATTTTATGTAACTGGAGATTTAAAAAACTCAACTATTAACTCAATTCGAATCTGAAAAAAATGTACCTAGCACAAATAAGGAAACCTGACAGGGGCATACAATGCCTGATCATTGCTAGTTACCAAAAGCTAGCTTTCCTATTAGCTTCCATTAAAATCAAATGGTTTAAGAACTCATTGGCATCCCTAACACACAAGCAAATGTTATATTAGAATGTCAAAACAAGTTTTTATCACTTCTTTAGTTTTCTTCATGTTGGAGAAATAGCATATTACTGAATGATTAACACCTGTCCTTTCATGCATAATTTTAAAAAGTGAAATCATTTTTGAGATTATATATTTTAAAGGGAAGAAATATGGAGAAGGGGTTTTCAAAAGCCCTTGTCATAATGTTCAGCACTTCATATGACTATCAGCAAATTAAATAAGTTGTTCTGATTCAATAACAGGCTGTCACCACACAAAAACAAGTTTCATCAAAGCTTACATTCTTACAGTATACACAGCAATGCACTTGTATTGTAAAAAGGTACTTTTTTATACAGATGAAGCAAAACAAATTTTTTACTGGCTGACACACAAAGCAGGGAAAAGTTTCCAACAATACTGGGCAATGGCACCTGCTCCTTGTGTAGCTTTTGTCTGTTTACTGAGGAAGAACTTTGTGTTAGGTTTTCTTCGTCCTCTGTTCTAGGTCGTGCTGGTGTTTAATAAGACGTTCTATTTCTGTTCCAAGTGTTTGCAGATTTTCCTTTAACAATTGGAAAAAGAGGGAAAAGAAAACAGAACTACTAAGTATAATAAGTAAAACGGTTCAGTTTGAACTATTTTTGCCTAAATTCTGAACTGAAACAGTGACAGTCTTAAATGCCATGCAAGATAAACTAGGCACACGGCTGTTTTCAGTAAAGTAATCCTGTACACTTCAGAGTCAGAAACTCTTTTTACTGAAGCTATAGCAAATTTTAGTGCCTAAAAATATTACCAGATTAAAAAAATTATTTTTTAAATCCATTACTAACCATCAAGGCCCAAACAGCACAGATAGAATAGCTGGGTCAGATAACAGCTGCAAAAAATAAAATAAAGCTGGAATACATTAGAAAATAAATGCCTCAATCTTAAAGTCTCAGTAATCAATTATAACTAATTGTAATATATGTCAAAGGCCACCCATTGCAAAGTAAATTACTCGGTAAATGACTCATCTTAGCGTCTATCCAACAGCTAAACTGATTTTTTTGCTATTTCTTTCTTTCCTGCTAATTTAAAAAATTGTACTTTTCAAAAAGAGAAAAACACAAAATTTTATATATGGAAAAAACGGCTACCCTGCATTACAGAAATAGTCCATCCATGTGTTGGACTGAACTATGAAAGAGGCACCATTTTTGTCATGTTTATTGGTTGGTAAGTGAATGAGAAATACAAATACCTTCAAAGTAATATTTTTCAATAACGTATCCTCCAAAACAGCCTGTAGTTTTCGGTTGATCTCCAAAGAGAGTTCCAATGTTAATCCACTATCAGCTGGATGGGATGTGTATAAAGATGCCATGATGCCACCCCGTCTACTTAAATGGACTTTGTTAAAATCAGATGCCTCTGAAGAAAGTGTGCCTGATTCTTCTCGTAAAACGTAACTCTGAATTATTCTGCAAAATAAAACGACACTATCAGTTATGGCCTTGCAGAATTACAAACACTGTAATTTGCAAGAGTCAACTAATCATAAGCTTAAAGATGATTAGCATAAAGTAATTATCTATTAGTTAATAACAGAACTATATTAGAAAATAAAGGGGTTTTCCTTATTCAGATGGTTTCTTAAACAATCCCATTTTTGTTCTAACATGGTATTTAGATTAAAGATACATAAACATTGCTTTTCTATTTTTTCCTTATTACTTTAAATCAAAATATGTGAGCAATTTATTGTTCCAGTTTCAGTTAATATTTTCTATTTTCCTGTCATTAAACTTAAAACTGTGTTTTACTCTTTTTCGTTTAAAAGTCATGGGCAAATTTTTCTCTAAGTCTAAACTTATTTCAAAATAAAAATTTTTAAGTCATGGGTAAAGACCCACAATATTACTTAAATGAATATGGTATCTGTGAGAGGAATTTGGCCCAGCACAGGCTCTGGAGCCAGTCAGAGCTGGGTTTGGATTTCCAACTCTCGGTCTGTCACTTACAGGATGAGTGGTGACTCTGGAACATTTAGTAATTTGACCTGAGCCCCAATTAATTAACCTATCAAATTAGACACAGTGGTCCCCAACCTTTCTGGCACCAGGGACCAGTTTCGTGGAAGACAATTCTTCCACGGCCTGGGGCGTGGGGTGGGCTACTTCAGGCTGTAATGCGAGCAATGGGGAGCCTGCATTGCCGGGAGTTGGGGACCCCTGAACTAGAGGACTCATTCTCCCCCTGGGTGGTTTTAAGAAATCAATGAGATACTGTTAAGTCACAGACACAGTGCCTTATATTTATATTTCTCTACTATATTTAGTAGATGCCCAATAATAACTCACTATGTCCTGCCCAACAGGAATGATAATCCACAACCCCAGTATCTCTTAAAACCACCATCTTGAAAATAAAAAGCTAAGTAGAGTACTATCTGTTTTTAAGTCCAAAGGTATTTTAGTCTCTTAAAAAATTAGCGTCTACTGAACTCTGTATCACCTTAAAGGAAAGACCTGTGTTTTCTTTAATGTCTGTAGTCCCAAAACCTAGAACATAAATAAGTTATCAGTAAAAGATTGGGAACTGAGTGACTATAGTTTTAAGAACTATTTTTTGAAAGAAAAGCTCTTGATATGACTAATTTTGAACACAATAACTTTACCATGTGAATAATGGTATTTTGAACACACATTACAGTACCATAATAATACATACTTTGTTTTTTTCCTAATTTCTTCCACCAATTGTTTGATGTGATCCTCCATAAATTCTATCTTTTCATTTTTCCGAGCATGTGCCTTCTGCAGCCTTACTATCCTCTCAATCAGCATGGCCTTGTCTACTTCTGGAAAGTTATCCACAGCTACTGACGACCCAGTATTTTCTGGAGATCGATCTTCTGCACTGCTTCGAGCATTGAGGGACCCTGAAGACAAAAAAAAAAATCCACTTATTGTACTTAGTCTGGAGTCAACTCTAATCTCATATATTATTTCTTCTAGTATCATTTTCACATATTCAATTTAACAGAGTTGGGTCCAGAACACAAGTCATACGTGACCTGAGTTCTTGTTTCTGAATACATTGATGATAGAAAAAAGGGTCTAGGGCTTCCCTGGTGGCACAGTGGTTAAGACTCTGCCTGCCAATGCAGGGGACACGGGTTCAATCCCTGGTCCGGGAAGATCCCACATGCCACAGAGCAACTAAGCCCGTGCGCCAAAACTACTGAAGTAAGTCAGAAAGAGAAAGACAAATACCTTATGCTAACACATATATATGGAATTTAAGAAAAAAAAATGTCATGAAGAACCTAGGGGTAAGACAGGAATAAAGACACAGACCTACTAGAGAATGGACTTGAGGATATGGGGAGGGGGAAGGGTAAGCTGTGACAAAGTGAGAGAGTGGCATGGACATATATACACTACCAAACGTGAAATAGATAGCTAGTGGGAAGCAGCCGCATAGCACAGGGAGATCAGCTCGGTGGTTTGTGACCACCTAGAGGGGTGGGATAGGGAGGGTGGGAGGGAGGGAGACGCAAGAGAGAAGAGATATGGGAACATATGTATAACTGATTCACTTTATTATAAAGCAGAAACTAACACACGATTGTAAAGCAATTATACTCCAATAAAGATGTAAAAAAAAAAAACTACTGAAGCCCACGTGCCTAGAGCCTGTGCTCAGCAACAAGAGAAGCCACCACAATGAGAAGCCCGTGCACCACAACAATGAGTAGCCCCTACTCACGGCAACTAGAGAGAGCCTGTGCACAACAATGAAGGCCCAAGGCAGCCATAAATAAGGAAGGAAGGGAGGGAGGGAGGGAGGGAGGGAGGAAGGAAGAAGGGTCTAGTATGTCTCTCAGGAACAGAATGAGTAAGTGCAATAGAGAAACGAGAAATTCCAGAGAAGTCAGAAAAACAAGTCTGAAGTGACACCAAAATTAAACTGAGACAGACACAGATAAAGACAGAAGACAGAATATAGCCAGTGGGTTAAGCTCTGGAGCCAGTCTTCCTAGGTTCAAATCTTACTTCTCCACTTTCTAGCTGTGTGACTTTGGACAAGTTAACTCTCTGTATCAAGGTCACTTCGTTTCAAAATGTGAATCATAATATGATTTGCCTCGTAGGACTGTTATCCTCATTTAAATTAGTTAACATGTCTGAAGTGCATGAACAGCATACATAGTATGCACTAAGTGCATGTTAGCTATTATTTTTACCAATATCATTTGAGAAGAATTTCTAATCCTTTTTATTCTACAAAGACACATTTTTTTCCTAACCCTATTATGTAGATTTAAGACAAGTAATATATCTTATCCAAGGTCATGCACAAATAAATGGTAGAGCTGGGATCTAAATACCCAATGTGTAATCTCAAACCCATGTTCTCTCTACTACACAATTTTCCCACTATTGTAACAGTTGATGATGTTTTTTCCCCTAATGTGCAACTCCTGGGAGGCAGTGTATGTAGTGGCGTGCAGACTCCAGAGCCTGAGAGTTCTGTTACTGTGGATTTTGGGAAAGTCATGCAACCACTATGAATCTTAAGTTTCCCCATCTGTAAAATGGGAATACAACACTTATTTCACATGGCTGTTCTGTGAGTAAATGATATGTTTAAAACGTTTAGCACGGTTCCTGGCATTCCAAAAATGGTAAATATGCTGATATTTTGCCAATTATAATTTTCACAGTGCTACTGATCATAATTTTATAGATTCAATTTTTGCTTTAGACTATAGGTATATTTACCATGAGAAAAGCAAAAAGATTTAAAAATACACAGGCATAAATATATATATATAAAAGCTGATATATAATGATGACCATTTCATTAGCTCTCAGGTGTTAAAAGTAATATAAAATTAAAAGAAAACGAAAGCGCATACTACACCAAATCTCTCTATAGATGGATACAAATCTGAATTTAAAAATGGAAGAGTAAACTGTTGCACAGAATAAAGAAGCAGGTATGGAAAAGGAGGTAGGAAGACAGATGGTATAGAAACCCATGACAAACTTGAAACCCTGTCTAATGATTAAACATTTAACTGGAAATATTTTTTACAACATAATTATGTACAACTACTGCTTTTTATAATTCAAAATTAAAGAAAAGCATATCGATACTTTTTAAACAAAAAATCCTATTTCTTTTCCTTTTTTTTTTTGACCATGCCGCAGCTCATGGGATCTTAGTTCCCTGACCAGGGATTGAACCCACACCCTCAGCAGTGAAAGCACAGAGCCCTAACCACTGGACCACCAGGGAATTCCCGAAAAATGCTATTTCTTTTTATAATCAATCACTAAAAAACAACTGTAAAAACATTAGTTTTTCACCTGATGAACTAGAACGACTTCCCATGCTGCTGACTTCTTTATCATAGCTTCCATTCTCAACCTGATCTAACTTTCTTCGTGCTGCAGGAAAAAGAAATGGATTACTTGTGACAACTGTCATGACCATTGGCCCCCACTATCTCTGATTTTAATTGCTAAAATCACTTAGGCCAAAATGGCATAAACAACAAGAGAAACTTCTTGAACATGTACTTTCGAAAGGAGGGCTGTAGGGTCATTCATATAAAATGACATATAGAAATGTACAGGTCATATACAAAATATATGGAAACGACATTATGATAACAACTGATACAGGCATCACTTAGGTACACAGAACCTAACTTTTAGAGTCCTGAAAGATTTCGAAGAGCTCCACACTACCACAAATTTCCCCCAAATTTCCCTTTAATCACATCTATGAAAACAAACTAAATTCTTATGGCAAATATCTGAATATATTTATATTAAGTAAATGCTAAGTCTCTTTTACCATATTACTATATTTCACCCTATTTTAATACAAATAAAGCAGTGGGGAATAGTAGAGAATAGGATGTCAGAATACATCTCTTATTCATCTTTGTATCCAATCACATAGCACAGACCCCCAATTTGTATGAATTTTTAAATGTAAGAAATCTGGGTTCCAGTTCTAGATGTTAATTGTTGTGTCCAGGTAATTTATAACCTTTGTGGGTCTCAGTTTCCCCTAAGAATAAGGGTTAGGGTTCAATGATCTCTAAGTGAGAGGTCTACAAGGTGGGGGCAGGTACCCTAGATGCTGCACAAAACAACTCACAGACAAGGGTAGGGAGAAAATATCAGAACTCTATTTATACTTATATTTAATCTAATCTTTTTAAATTTGTATTTTTCATGTTTTTCTAATGTGCATAAACTAGAGTAATACATGTTTAAAATTTACAAATAACTAGATACAAATTGGAGAACAAATACTTAAATACTTTTTTATTGACAGCAGTATGTGATCAACAAAGTCTAGACACTACTGCCTTGGTAAGGTACTTTCTCAATTCTTACATTTTGTGGTTCTGTGAATAAATGTCTTTTAACATAGAACATGCTATAAACTATTCACGGAACTACAAGAAGGTCAGCCATGTGGTTTATTAACATTAATACATTAAAAAGAACATACAGCTCTAATCAATGTGGGAGAAACTGATGTAAAATATACTTTTTCTGTAAATCCTTAACAATGAAAAGAAACAAAAACATTCAAGGTCTAAGTGTAGAAAAATTTTATACCTTGCTGAAGTTGTTTGGTAAGATCCTTGACACTAGAGGCATGTTTACGTCTTTGAGTTACTAATTCATCTTTTAATTCTTCCACCTGGGTACTCAGTGTTTTAACTTCGGTTTGTCTACAAGTGAGTTCAGCTTGCAGAGTCTGGACTTCCTCTTTTCGCAGTTCTTCTTCTTTTAACAATCTACTTTCCTAAATATTAAATAAGATAAAAAATACCAACTTTAATATCTGTTTCAATTACTGTTCACAGTTTAAAACCTTAAAAATACAAGGTCTTTCATAGTAAATTCTTCTGTCATCACTCATTATCAGGTTTTGTTTACGAGCTCCTCAAATTCTTTATACAGTAATGCAGGGGGATATATTAATGCATCTGCCATTCTATACATGTAAAACAACATGTGATACAGGTCTCTGTATTTTTTTTTTTCATGTCTCTATTTCTGGTTTAAAGTCTCAAATTATTTCTATGAGTAACCTGAAGATACTCTCACTACTTGGAAATATTAAACCATTTTTAAGCTATAAAAATATAGAAATTTAAAGTTCTTTTAAGAAATATATAATAAATCCAGTTAGGAATAACAAAAACCCTGGTTTTCTTACTTTCAAAAGTGAAATATTTCTTCCTAACGATGTTAGGGAAAAATTTTTATTATAAATTACATAAGTTGAAAGGAAAAACTGACATTTCTCATAGCATTTGAAATTATCAGAAAGTCAGTGCCAAAAAAAAAAAAAAGAGTTTAATCAACTACCATTAAGTTTATGCTTTTAGGGAAATTTAATTTGTGCTACTTGCTATGTTGCTTTAAAAGTTAAATGTACACTTATACTTACCAAATTAATATTTGTCTGTTTCATGTGTTCACATTGGCTTTGTAACTGACTTTCACTACAGGAAAGTTTATCAAACTGTGACTGCAAAGAATTGGATTCAGATTGAAGTTGTGCATTCTTACTAGTGAGCTTTTCTGTAAACAGTAGTAGCTCAGATTCTCTTTTCCTACTGCCTTCGATGTCTTTTTGTAGGTCATTAATCAAAGAATTAAGACTTTCCACTTCTTCCTTCAAATTTTCAATTTCTTGTTTACCTCTAGAAAACAAAGTTTACAATTAAGAAAAAAATTAAACTATTAAAAGACATTAATGGTTTGAGAATTTTCATCAAATGAAATTCTTTATGAAGGTACTCTTATTCATTCATCCAAGTATTTATTTGGATTACTATGAATGCCTAACATATGCTAGGAACTAAGAGCTGGGAATATACATAAGCAAGACTGACATGGCCCCTACTTTCAAAGAGCTTTTAGTCAAGTAGTGTGAAAAAACATTTTTGATGATGAAAGCACAGAGTGGGTCACCTAAGCTAGTGTAAGTGATGAGTAAACTAATATTTAAAGGGTTAGCAAACTTTTCCTATAAAAGGCCCACACAGTAAACAATGTAGGCTTCTGGAGCATATGGCCTTTGTTACAACTGTTTATAACTCTGCCACTGTAGTGTGAAAGCAGCCACACATAATACATAAAGGAATGAGAGTGGCTGTGTTCCCAAAAAAAAGTTTATTGACAGAAAGAGGCAGTGAGCTGGATTTGGCTTCTGGGCCATAGTTTGCTAATTCCTGAGCTAAAGGGAAAGTAACAGTGAGTGGGAAAACAAAATATGTTCCAGGTAGAGGAAACAGTATGTGCAAAGCTGGGAAGGGAACAAGAGAATGACTTCTTGTTGGTACTAACAAACAGATGTTCAATACTGATGAGGATAAGGACAGTACTATATCCTAGCACTTAACACAGGGCTCGGCACCTAGGAGACAATTAATTAACATTTGTTAACCAACTATTGCTGAAATACAGAATAAAGAAGGAGAAGGCACAGAGGGAGAAGCAAGGTTACTAATGATCTTCCAAGCCATGTTAAGCCATCTGAACTCACTAGGCAATCCTTGAGGCAATGGGAAATCATTGAGAGGTTTGAGATTTCCTTTGTAAAAAAGATTATCCTAACCACAGTGTAGGAAACAGACTAAAAGGGAAGCAAAAAAACAAAACAAAACAGTTTAGAAGCCCTGGCAGTTTGCCGGGAGAGCTGATAATGGCTTGGACAATGGTAGCAGCAGTGGGGATGTAAACAGTAAATGGATTTGAAAGATATTAAAGAGTTAGCATCAAAAATATTTTGTGACTGGTTACATGTGTGAGGGAAAGGAAAGAAGAGCCAAGGGTAACTCCCAGGTTCCTGGGTTGGAAAATCATGTGGATGTCACACTCATCATTCATCTCAGGAACATCAGAGAAGCATATTTGTGGACAAGATACATGAATCAGTATTGGACATATTATAAGTTTGAGGTGTCTTTGATACTTGTGTATCTGGAGCTCAGCAAAAAGGGTTGATGATAATTAACTTGAAGGTCCTGCAGCACACTACTGGAAGAGTTAGGATCACCCAGGGTTATAATAAAATAAGAACAAAAAACAGCTTTATGACATAAAGAGAAGGCTGCCAAGGAGACAGAAAAGATTGGCCAGAAAGTGGGGAGGAACACCAGGAAAGTACAAGGAAATGAAGCCAAAAGAACAGAGCATATCAAGAAAGGTAATGGGCTTAGTGTGTCCATACTGAAAATTCAAGCAAGGCTTAATCTGGGAAATATCTACTATATTTAAGGATGCATTAGCAGTCTGTAATGGAATGCTGGGGCATTAGAATAAATGGAAAGGAACAGAAGAACAAAGCATGTGAAGAAATGGAGAACAAGCACAGATGATTCTATAAAGACATTTTTGGTTGTGAAGAAAGGGAGAAAGGAGATCATAGGAGTTTTGATGTTTTTAAGATATAATATTTAAATGTAGAAAGAAGAAAAGTCAGTAAAAAGAGGGAGGTAAGAGATAAAGAATAAAGAAGGAATAATCAAGGAAGACCCTGAGAAGGCAGAAGAGCATGGGATCCACAGTAGGAGTAGGGACCACAATTTGATTCAGAAAGAATAGGAACATTTCTTCCATAATAACAGAAGGAAAAGAGAAATGACTGCAGATGCAGGCAAGTTCATAGGACTGATAGCAAGAGGTTGAGAGAACTGTCACCTGACAGCTCCCTTTTTTTCTGTGAAGTAAGAGGTAATCGCCTGACAAGAGTAAAGAGCAAGGTGAGAGGGAAGATCAGAAGTGTGAAGAAAGCAGTAAGGTTTGGAATAATGCTAAGAAGATGGGGAGAAGGCTCTGACTAAGGATATATGGTAGGACTGGAGGTGCATTAGGATTTCCAGTTGAGGTTGGTTGCTAACCATGAATTTATAGCAGCATCAATCTGGATGATCTTGAGGATTTCTTCAGCAACACTCAGCAGCCTGGGTGTTGGTAGGGTATGAAGAAGAAGGTATCTGGATCCAGCCTGAATCCCGGCTCTCTCAGGTAATGTCGTAAGTAGAATTTAGCTAAATGGCTTTATAAGAAGCCAAGGAATAGGACTTCCCTGGTGGTGCAGTGGCTAAGAATCCGCCTGCCAATGCAGGGGACACAGGTTCAAGCCCTGCTCCAGGAAGATCCCACATGCTGCGGAGCAACTAAGCCCGTGAGCCACAACTACTGAGCCTGCGCTCTAGAGCCACTGAGTCCACGCACCACAACTACTGAAGTCCACATGCCTAGAGCCCGTGCTCTGCAACGAGAAGCCACCACAATGAGAAGCACACACACCACAACAAAGAGTAGCTCCCACTCACCGCAACTAGAGAAAGCCCGTGTGTAGCAACAAAGACCCAAAGCAGCCCCCAAAAATAAATAAAATAAATTTATAAAAAAAAAGAAAAGAAGCCAAGGAATAATGTTACCTCCTGACCTTGAGCTACATACATGCAAAAATATAGACATAGATACATATCAATCTTTTAGAAGAAAACCTACTGTGTATAAGTAATAGAATTTGAAAGCTAAGGAATGGATAAAAAACTACAATCCATTCTGTCTTATAAATAGTTACTGCCAAAAAAAAAAAAAAAAAAAAAAAAACTACTGCCAATATTTAGGGAATATAAACTTTGATTTTTTAGAAGCCGTGATGGGAACTACAAAGAAAACCCAAAATAAGTTCAAATGAAGACAGGAATTGAAGTTTTTTTTATCTAGTAAAATATAAAATTACTCTTATTTAATGCAACAATTGCATTTAAAAACAGAAACAAGATAGAATCAAAAAGCCTGTTGATTAGCATAAACAGAAGTTGCTCATTTTATACCTTTGATGCTGCTCCTGTATCTGACCTGCAATTTTCACTTTGTCCAATAAATTCTGAATTTCAGCTTTTTGGCGATTAATAATTTCTTTATATTTTGATAGTTCATCTTCTGTTCTCAATCGTTCATCTTCTAGACATTTTACCTATCAAATAATCATAATTGAGTTAAACTACAAACAATATTTTCTTGTTCTTTATTAGCTATTTCAGACAGTGGTTATATATTAATAATCTAAGCTAAATTCTGAAGCAATATTAATTAACATGAAGAAAATATAATAGGAAGTTAACAGTCTTGGGTTTCAGTCTCAGATTTCTCATGATTTAGTCATGGGATTTTTAACATGCCACTTTATTCTGGCTGAATCTCCATTTTCTCATCTGAGAAGAGGATGTACCTTCCCTATCTGCCTCAAAGTACTGGCATGAAGAACAAATAGAAAGGTACATGAAAGACACTTTAAAAATTATTAAGTGATCGCAAATTCAAGGTGGTTACCTAAAAGCCTATTTCTAAATAAATGAAAGATATATAATGATAACATATTTCACACTTATATTAAAAGGGCAAATATTCTTAAAATGAGAACCATAACACTGGAAAAGATTTAAGAGGTTGTTAGAAATTAAAACTGTATACAAGGGACTTCCTTGGTGGTCCAGTGGTTAAGAATCTGCCTTCCAATGCAGGGGATGTGGGTTCAATCCCTGGTTAGGGAACTAAGATCCCCCATGCTGCAGGGCAACTAAGCCCATGCACCACAACTACTTAGCCTGTGTGCTCTAGAGCCCACATGAGAGCCCGCAACTAAGAGAGCCCGCATGCTGCAACTACTGAGCCCGCGTGCCACAACTAGAGAGAAGCCTGCGTGCTGCAATGAAGAGCCCACATGCCACAACGAAAGACCCCACATGATGCAACGAAGATCCTGTGTGCTGCAACTAAGACCCAACGCAGTCAAATAAATAAATAAATAAACAAGCAAGCAAGCAAACATTTTTTTTAAAAAACTGTATACAAGACTATTAAATATACCTAGGAGAAATGTAAAGGTTTTCTATTATTTTCTTTCTTCTTTTCTTTTCTCATTAATTAATTTCATTTATTTATTTTTGGCTGCGTTGGGTCTTCATTGCTGCGTGCAGGCTTTCTCTAGTTGCAGCAAGCGGGGCTACTCTTCGTTGCGGTGCACAGGCTTCTCATTGTGGCGGCTTCTCTTTGTTGCGGAACACAGGCTCTAGGCACGCAGGCTCAGTAGTTGTGGCTCACGGGCTGTAGAGCACAGGCTCAGCAGTTGTGGCGCACGGGCTTAGTTGCTCCGTGGCATGTGGGATCTTCCCAGTCCAGGGCTCGACTCTGTGTCCCCTGCATTGGCAGGCAGATTCTTAACCACTGCACCACCAGGGCAGTCCCTTTCTATTATTTTCTGACACAGCTCTAAAGCCCATGTAACAGAGGACCAAGGATAACTTATAGATAAAGCAAATGTGCTGTGAAACAGGAATGTTTGGCAAACACTTTAAAGGGACTGAAATGGAAGACACTTTTATTTCTCTAAGAGTCAATTTTGTTGCTAGGGAATTGACATGCTACTATTTGATTTTGGAATATTTCTATATAAATATCCTTTCCCCAAGATTTAAAAATCAGAATGAGTACAAAATTAAAGATAGTTATCCTTCCTCTGGAGTCATGACTAAAGACTGAATTACCTTTGTTCTCAGTGTTCGTAGCTCATCCATGCCCTCCTTAAATGTCCTCTTCAGATCTTCTAGTTCCTTTATTTTGGCATGATGCATCTTTAAAAACGTTTAAAAGAAACCACAAATCATTATATACTAAACCAGATCTAAAATTTATTACCTGCTCCTTCCAGAAGGCCTTAAAGTAGCTGACAATAAGTACTTGTTCTTTCTCTCCTCTATATTATACCATCCAAGGTATACAAAGAACAAAGCTACTCACTTCTAGCTGGTTAGATTTTTCTTGCATTTGTTTTTCAAGTTCTCCTTTTGTGACTCTAAGCTTGGCATCAAGTTCATTTGATTTAATTTCTTCTGATTCCTAATGGGAAAGAAATGACAAAAGTATGACAATTTTTAAAGTTTTATGCTTTGAAATGTGAAGAAGGCTTTTGCAATTAAGTTTCCTCATCGTGAAATACATAACTCATGTATGTAAAATTGATGACTGTATTCAAAGATTTTAAATATGTCAATTTTGCACCAACTAGAAGAGCATACTTAACATATATAACATAATAGAATGGGCTCTTTTTTTAAGTTATACATTTTCTTGTACTCTTCATTCTTCTAACGTTTTCTAGTGTTTTTATTCGGTTAAAAACTTCTCTAGTAAGATCTCTATTTAACCTGCAAGTACTTTAACATAGGAAATAGCCTGTATTTAATTTAGCTGCCCTACCAAATCTATTCCACACTTCGAATATTGTAGATACAAAAATTTATGAAACAAGATTACTGATATCTGGCATAATTTGTTACTAATCTATTCAAAAATTTAAGCATACCTGATATGTTTTTATCATATCCTGACAATTTTTCCGAATTTGATCTGCTTCTTCCTTTGCTTGAGTTAATTTTGTTGTTGTTTCTTTGAGTTTATCTTTGGTTTCCTGCATTGACAAAAAGACAATGTGAGATGATAGAAAATATATATTGGTCTCTGTCCCCAGTTCCTGGCACAGAGCTCCTAAAACCCTTGTAATTTTTTAAGTGATAAAAACATCAGGAGCATCTCTTGTTCTAATACTGGTCTTTAACCTCTGTTCCTGCCACAGAGCTCCTGAAATCCTCATAATTTGCCAAGTGATAGGAGTGTCTTTTGTTCTACTGAGGTGACTCTGACTGGACTTCTGGATGACAGCTGGTCCCCCCCAAGTCATGGTTAGAAGCTTGGAATTTTCAACCCTGTCCCCCATTCCCTTGAGAAGGCAGAAGGGTAAAAATGGAGTTAATGATCAATCTCAAGCCTATGTGATGAAGCCTCCACAAAAAAACAAAAGTATGAGGCTTGGGGAGCTTCCAGATGGTGCACACATCCAATATCGGGAAGGTGACAAACCCTAACTCCAGAGGGACAGAAGCTCCTGCACTTGGGACCTTCCCAGACCTCACCTTATGTATCTCTTTATCTCACTGTTCATCTGACCCTTTATAATGTCCTTTAATAAACTGGTAAAGGTAAATAACTGTACTCATTCCCTGAGTTCTGTGTGGTACTGTAGCAAATTTTTTTTTTTTTTTTTGCAGTACGCGGGCCTCTCACTGCTGTGGCCTCTCCCGTTGCGGAGCACAGGCTCTGGATGCGCAGGCGCAGCGGCCATGGCTCACGGGCCCAGCCGCTCCGCGGCACGTGGGATCATCCCGGACCAGGGCACAAACCCGTGTCCCCTGCATCGGCAGGCGGACTCTCAACCACTGTGCCATCAGGGAAGCCCTGTAGCAAATTTTTGAACCCAAGGCGGGGGGGTTGTTAGAACCTCCAATCTATAGCCAGTTGATCAGAAGAACAGGTCATAACCTGGGCTTGGGACTGGTGCCTGAAGTGGGAGGTGGGGGAAGTCTTGTGGGACTGAGCCTTTAACCTGGGGGATCTGACACTATCTCTGGATCGATAGTGTCAAAACTGAGTTAAGTTGTAGGCCACTCAGCTGGTATCACAGAGAATTGCTTGTTGTGGGGAAAAGCCTTCTCACATTGGTAACCAGAAGTGACAGAAGTGAAGTGTTCTGTGTAAAAGTAAAAGAGACACAAAGGGAAGAAACCCACAGTAGGGAGAACTGGATTTTTCCCTACACCGAAGGAAAACTGGGTTTTTCCTTTACAGACAGTAACAAGGTTGGCATAGTGATGTGATGAATGGTGAGAACAATGACCAGACAGTAGAGAAAGCTCTTGTCGTAGCACTGCCACTGGAGTCAGATACTATTTTAGTAATAACATTTTATGCTTCTGACAAAAAACTAAATGTGGCCTGAACAGTTAATTGATAGTCATTAAATAAAGTTAAATTTGATAGAGTTTTCATCAAATCACTAGAAGTTACTAACCTGAAAAGACAAAAAGAGCAAAGTGTTTAAGCAGTTCTTTGTAGATCCATAAAAAGTCAATTGTTTGGTTTATGGCCAAGGTATCTATTCAAAACTTTTTTACAGATTCATGCTGCAATTTGGTTTCTGTTCCTAACTACTCTCCTAAAATAACAATTCTGAAGGTCTGCAGGGACTACTTTCTCATCAAATCCAATTGCTTTTTCTCATTTCTTCTTCTTGACTTACCTGTTCCAGTTCTGATCACTCCAGACTCTGAATAGCCTTCCTCTGTTTACAAGACAACATACTCCTGTTTTTGCCCACTTCATCATTGCCTTCGCTGTCTCCTTGACTAGCTAGACTTCCTGTGGTGACTGTCCCAGTACAGCCCTACCCTGTAGCTCCAACGTTCTCCTTCAGAGTACCCATCCAGTCCCATAATTTGGGCTATTATGTGGATTTCAAATGAGAGTTTAGGTATCATCTCCTCCTAGTAGCTTCCCTTCAGAAAGGGGTAGAAGTTGCTATTCTGCCTTCCCATAGATAGAATCCAGGGAATCCCTAGATTGTAACACTTGATACATTGTACAGCAGCTTACATGCTTCCCCCACTGAGGATACAGCTTCTGGATAACACCTAGCTCAGTAGTTGCCACATATTAATTGTTCATGTAGTAAGTGTTGAATTAACGAAGGAATACCTAACATAAACCTTCTGTTCTAGTTAGGTTGGTTTTCTCAAACACCAAATATTCATCTCCCTTTTCTCTCTTATCTTGCTGTTCCTCCACTTGGAATGCCTTTCCTGTCATCTCTTAATGTAAATTGAATCTATCCTTCACACACGGCTTCTTATACATCATTTTGTTTTTGGATAAACCTACCATACAATTAAGTGCCTACTTACATACTTTCAGTTGCAGGTCTTTTAAAAATAATTTCACTTATATTAAAACTGTGTTACTTTTAAAATTTAAACATTTGAAGGCTTTTTCAAATATTGTTTTTTAAAATATGAGAATATTAGCTCAACAAGAAGAAGGAGAGAGAGAGAGAGAACAGAACTTTATCTGTTTTACCCCACTTCTATATTATCAATAACTAAAACAGAGCCTGATACATAGTAGGTACTCACTTCATTTATTCAAAACATAGCAATTGAGAGACTCCTGTGTCAAATACAATTTCAAATGGTTTGTAGCCCTGTGTGAGCCCTAAGGATTGTTGCCCCTACTCCTTCTGGCAGTTCTTTCTCTGCCCATATAGTTTCCTAACACTCATTTGCTGATCAGCAATTAGCTCAGAAACCTACCATTCTCTAACCTATCTTTGACCACTGTCAACAGACACTTCTCCCTACAGTTTTCTCTGATATTATAATATACAAATATCCAAAGGTTAACAGTTCTACCAACTTAGGATTATTTAAAGAGATGCCAATGATAATTTAAACAATATCATTAAGCCTATTTTTGAAAATGTGGTAACTGTTATAAATAACATGGCTCTTTTGTTTAAATCATATTTCAAAGTTTTTTTTTTTTACTTCACATTCTATCATCTTCAGATTTTTATTACTGCTTATACCAGTTCAGTTACTGCTTAAAATTATGGCATCAGGTACCAGCCTTTATCACCACTTTTTATTATATTGTTTAATAATATGATATTCATTATACACAATACAAATAGAATTATATTCATAATAAACAGATAAGGAAACTTTGTTATGTTTATATTTAAATAAAAATTCATATTTCTTGATTATAAGAATTGTATCATCACTAACATTTTTTTAAGAATTTCCAGAGTTTACTTTCAATTTTGATAACCTACATATTCTCCTCTTCCCCCGAACCTGACAATGTTTAATATAAAATATAGAACACTAAAAATGCTTAAAGAACAAAGTCATTGGGGGGTTAAAAACAATGAATGCTAAAACAACATTCTATCCAATTTAATATGTAAATCATGCAAGGAAGTATCTTTGTATGATCACCAAATATTCAGGCCCAAGCTATCCTACAGGAGTCACTAAGCTTTATGCCTCATTAATAACTATTACTGCATGTGCTCTTAAAACTGATTCTAATAATTTTTCCACTGTATTACAGTACTCACCTTGTGTGAATCCATTTCTGCTTTTAATTTGTTTTGTGCCCATTTTACTTTAATGATTTGAGAGTTGATATCTTCCTTTAATTTGTCTATTTCTCTGACGAGTCTAGTAGTTTCACCTTCCTAAAATAATATCACCAGGTCATATTTTTCATTTAAACAACCAACCAATCATTTGTGTATCTTTTATATCTCAAGATAATTAATGCAATAACACTATAGTTCAGGGCTAGCACATTACGGCCTATAAACTGACTTAAAGTTCAATTCATAAGAGGACAGTAAAAGCCTAAAACCAATTAACAGACATAAGATGATTAATATTTATATTTTAACCAACTAGTACACTGTGAGTATAAGCGTACCTTTCTGATTCTTCTCAACTGGCTGACATTAAGGTGAAATATGAATTAAATTGGTTTTGCCAGAATTCTTGAGACAATGACAACATTCCTGAACTAAAAGTTAATTAATAAAAAATATCATTGATTACCAAGAAATGATAACCTACTGGACACAAGACTACGCCATGAGGATGCTAGTTAATAGCAAGGATTCTAAATAGCACAGTAATTTAATCTCCTTGGACAGCATGTAAGAACATGTTTTTCTACAAGTAAAATATAAATTCTATGATGTGTAAGTAAGTGTTACATTAAGATTCTGGTCAAAGTATACTTCTGGCTGAAAAACTACTCACATTTTGACACACCATGTATATCTTTTACCAAAATAAAATCTTCCTGTGAAGCACAAAGTCATTTCTTCAACATGCAGATTTTAAAAGGAAGTTTTTAAAAAGATCTGTCTAATAAACAACATGTCAGTTTCTCATCTTTTCATAGGAAAAACTTTTTGGAGCTAAGTAACAAGATATTGGAATTATTAAAGCATTCTTTGAAGGTAAACTAAGAAAAACAACTTTATGTTTAACAGTGGTTTAACCATGTTAAGTTATGATTATTTGATTAAATAAGGAAAAGCAAAGAGAGTAAGTTTCAAATAAGATACAATATCAAAAGTTATACCTTTGTTTCGTACAGCTGGTGCAGCCGTCCTTTCTCCTGAGAAAGTTGCTTAATTTTGTTAGTGTTTTTCTCATATTCTTTATTTGCATCTCTAAGTTTTTTTTCAAGTATCTCTTTTTCCTTTCGAAGGTCTAAAGATTCCTTCTCGCCTCTTACATACTTCATTACCATTGCTTCTTTTTCCTGGCGTGCTTCTTCACATTTCTTGTTGGCCTTTGAAAATAATATCTAGCATTAATAAAACATATTTTTCAAATAAAAATTAATTAAAACAAATAATATTTTCCTATAATATCACCAATGTATTTTTTGGTCTTTTACACAAGATTTTCAGGACCTGTGTCATGAAATTTTAAAAAAGAGAAATGATACAATGAACAAATTAATATCATTAATATTTGCTTCTTCCCTTTCCTATTCCTTTTCCTTTAGCTAATATGGTCGCTATTTTCTGTTTACTCCTTCAGATCACTTTTCCACTCTTTCCTAGCCCACTCTGTGCTCTGGGAAAGTGACCATCAGGGACCATATCAACAAGTTTCTTTGCCCTCATACTTCCAGTTGGGTTTGGCCAACAGGAGGCACTAAGCAGAAGATTAGGACGGTAGGCAGAGAATGAGATCTGGCTCCTCCAGAATCATACACTGTTCCTGTCAGGTGACCTCTCTATGCAACTACCTTCTCTGGGTTGTACTACCTGCACCGTCTCCTTATTCCTTTAGCCCAAAGAGTGATAATGGCTCCTCCAGCAGCCCCAGGATCCTGCATTTTCCCAGGTTGGACTCCCTAAATCTCACCCATACCTTTGTCAAGAGTCCTTTTATGAAATTCTCCCCAAATCACCAGTTTCTGTTTTCTGTCAGGATCCTGAGTCTATGGCTGACAATTTCTAAAATCTATAATCTTAGCTCCCTCACAAAAAAGTAAGTAATATGCTAATTAGTGATCGCTGGGTTCCTCTGTATGAAAAGTATTTGGCATTTTAACAAGAAATACCTAATTGGATTAGGTGTGACATCTACCTATATACTAACTTAAAATTCTCTGTAACTATAAGCTGGTACTCCATACTGTGAAATTTCATACAATGAAAACTTCTACAGATAGCCCTTCATTTAAGTAAATTCATAGTTTGCAAATATGATGAAGCACATACTTATTTTACAGAAGATGGATCCTTAAACTTTAAGGATCTTCAATGGCATCTAGTGGTAAACTCCAACTAATACTATAACTGAATTGAAGTAGGTTTAGCGTTAGGATAATGTGGGGAAACCTCCTATGCTCTGATGAAAGTGACTGACAAAAAATGTTTCATGAAGTTCTGCTACAGCTGATAAGCACATCTAGTAACCACTCAAAATACTATACATATAAGTATTTTTAAAAATCATCCAATTGGGATTTTTCCCCCATTGAAATAGCCTACTAATTTTCAAGAAATTAAAGAAAACACTGGAATAGGGATGGCAGAGATCCCTGAGGCTTTGATGACATGCTTGTGGACAAATGATTGACAAAACCGTGATGGAATTGGCTGACAGAATTAGCTAGATTTTTAGATAATTGAATAACTGTACTTAGAAAAAGTCAACTAATGGTAATGTCAACTTTAAAAGAAGTCCAGTTCCATGATAACTTAATGCTTAGATAATGGATTAGCTTTTGGGAACACAATGAAGAATAAGCCATGGTAAGTCCTGGAAGAGCTCACTACCTAGTAAGAACAACACATAAACGAAGATTATGAAACAATTTCTAGTGGATGAATGTACAAAGTTCTTTGAAAATACAAAAATACTAACAGTCCCTGGGAAGGGTTGGCATGAAGGGTGAAAGATGCTATTTGTACTTGAACTAGGTGCTATACTTGAGCTAGGCATTGAAGGACTCAGTAAAGGGATCAGTCAAGGAAAGGAATTCAAGCTAGAGTGGTTATCATGTGGTTATTTTAGGCTCAAATGCCTAAAAGTATAAAATAGCATGATATATTTAGAGGACATTAAATTATTCTGTAGTGATTAAATTTGGTGTGTTGATTGCAGTGGAGAGGAAGTAGTTATAAAACAGAAAAGGAGGTAGAGATCAGATCCTGAAAGGAAGAAGGACTTCTCTTCTTGTCATGCTAATGATTTGAGATTTTATCCTACAGGCAAAGAGAAGCCAAAGACGGATTTAATAAAAGGTGTTTTAAATTTTATTAAATTAAATTGTGTTTTAAAAAGATACCTGGTAGCAACATGGAAACTTCACTGAAGTTAAGAGATAAGAAGCAGAAAACAGATAATTATAATACACGAGATAACATATTACAAGGTTCTTAACTACAGGAGGGGATATGCACCAGAATGTCCTGTTACCCAGAGTCATCCCTGAATCAGCTGCAAAAGAATAACCTGGGGTGGGACTTCCCTGGTGATCCAGTGGTAAAGAATCTGCCTTCCAATGCAGGTGATGCAGGTTCGATCCCTGGTTGGGGAACTAAGATCCCACATGCCACAGAGCAACTAAGCCCGTGCGCCACAACTACTGAGTCCGCATACCTCAACTAGAGAAGCCGCGTGCTGCAAACTACACAGCCCATGCGCTCTGGAGCCCTCGTGCCACAACTAGAGAAGCCTGCGTACCACAACTAGAGAGGAGCCCGCGCAGTGCAACGAAGAGCCCACGTGTCGCAACTAAGACACGACACAGCCAAAAATAAATAAATAAATTAAAATTTAAATAAATAAATAAAACAAATGGATTTATTAAAAAAAAAAGAATAACCTGGGGTGCTAAAAGTTCACATTTCTATATCCCACCCCAGATAATAGCAGCACCTACTTCATAGATTGTTGGGAGTATTAAATGAGATAATTGACTACTCTTTAAGCTTCTATTGAAAGTCAGTCCATTATGGCACAGATAAAGAGGAGTCAGTAAAAGTCTTCGGATTTGACTAGTTTTAAGATGTTTACCATTGACTTGGATGAAGATATGAATAACATAATTGATAGGATTCAACAGTCAACTAAAATTAAGATAAACTGTAGTAGTTCTGCTTCTCCAAGTATGGCAGATGAACCCTCCCCATTCAAAACACCTAAAATTTTAGATAAAGTACAACAAATGTTTTTTTAATGCACAGTTGAGTTCACAAGAAAGTATGGGAGGGCTTCCCTGGTGGCGCAGTGGTTGAGAGTCCACCTGCCGATGCAGGGGACACGGGTTCATGCCCCGGTCTGGGAAGATCCCACATGCCGCAGAGCAGCTGTGCCCATGAGCCATGGCCGCTGAGCCTGTGCGTCCGGAGCCTGTGCTCCGCAACGGGAGAGGCCACAACAGTGAGAGGCCCGCATACCGCAAAAAAAAAAAAAAAAAAAAGAAAGTATGGGAAATTTCAGGGCCAAAAAATCTAATTAGCAGCAGGAATCCAGAATGCTTCGTTAGGGCTGAATACTTACCAATATGAGGTCATGTGGGGCTGAGGGAGACATGCTACAAAGTCCCTAAGAATTTATAACTAACTCTACCCTCCTGTAAATTTGAGGTTCAGATACATTCTACGTATCTGTTCTGAGAAATGGAGAAACCTCAAACTGGAAAATTAAACTGGGGAGTGTACACATGTGTGTGCAGCAACATGTACACACTCATGCTAGGAAGCTATTTCTAAATAAAACTCACCAGGTTTGGTGACTCTAGGTGAAGGGTAAACAAATGTTCATTTTACTATTCTTTTACCTTTTCTACAGGCTTAAAAAATTCTCAAATCAAAAAGTTGAGAGGAAAAGTTATGGGAGAAAAGGAATGAAGCCAATCTAGAAACAGCTGAATGGAACAATCTCCAAAATCTACATAAGAATACCCACCTCTTAGGGTTATCCTGAATATTAAATAAGTGAATACTTGTAAACCGTTATTAACCTCACCTACACTCATCATTAGAGAGGAAACAGATACAGAGTACTGAGTGTAGTATGTTGCCATTTGTTTAAAAACAGGGGGGAGGATGGGAGGAATAAAGGAAATATATACATGCTTGTCCATGCAACAAATATTCTGAAAAGGATATACAGGAAACTGGCATCAATGGTTGCCTCTGGGAAGGGTGCGGAGTGGGAGAAAAAGTTTGGAAGAAGACATGTTTTACTGTTTGAATTGTTATTGTGCACATTTTACTATCATTTTGTTTCTATTTTAAAATATAATTCCAAAGAATATATATAAATATTTAAATTTATTTATTTATTTATGGCTGCGTTGGGTCTTTATTGTTGCATGCAGACTTTAGACGCGACAAACGGGGGCTACTCTTTGTTGCGGTGCGCGGGCTTCTCATTGCGGTGGCTTCTCTTGTTGCGGAGCACAGGCTCTAGCTGCGTGGGCTTCAGTAGTTGTGGCACATGGGCTCAGTAGTTGTGGCTCATGGGCTCTAGAGCTCAGGCTCAGTAGTTGTGGCGCATGGGCTTAGTTGCTCTGTGGCATGTGGGATCTTCCCGGACCAGGGCTCGAAACTGTGTCCCCTGCACTGGCAAGTGGATTCTTAACCACTGCGCCACCAGGGAAGTCCCCAAGAATATATACACACACACACACACACACACACACACACACTTCTTCTCTTATAAATTTATTTATTTTTGGCTGCACTGGATCTTTGTTGCTATGTGCGGGCTTTTCTCTAGTTGCGGAGAGCGGGGGCTACTCTTTGTTGCAGTGCCTGGGCTTCTCATTGTGGTGGTTTCTCTTGTTGCAGAGCACGGGATCTAGGTACACAGGCTTCAGCAGTTGTGGCTCGGAGGCTCTAGAGCACAGGCTCAGTAGTTGTGGTGTATGGGCTTATTTGCTCCACGGCATGGGGGAATCTTCCCGGACCAGGGATCAAACCCGTGTCCCCTGCGTTGGCAGGCGGATTCTTAACCACTGCACCACCAGGGAAGTCCCCAAGAATATATATATTTTTAAAGCTCACTAAGTTATTCTAATGAAGCTATGTTTGGGTCCACTAAAACCAACAACTTCTTAATGTCTTATCTTCTACATTTCTCCTTAATTAGTATAAAAGGTTTGAGAACTGATAGTGTAAATTTTAAATATATAACATTCCTAATGCTCAGGGTAAGCATATTGTAAAGAATCACAGGAATAAAGGTTGAAGTTTTTTGTTGTTAGCATGCATTTATGTATTGCTTTAGCGGTTTTTTTTTCTTTTTTTTTGCAGTACGCGGGCCTCTCACTGTTGTGGCCTCTCCCGTTGCAGAGCAAAGGCTCCGGACGCGCAGGCCCAGCGGCCATGACTCATGCGCCCAGCCGCTCCGCGGCATGTGGGATCTTCCCAGACCGGGGCATGAACCCGTGTCCCCTGCATCGGCAGGCAGACTCTCAACCACTGCGCCACCAGGGAAGCCCCCTGCTTTAGCATTTTTTAAATCCTAATCCTAATACACACTAATGTCCAAAACTGTCTAAAAGGTTACTTAATATACAAAGAATCATCAGAAAGTTAATAATAATAATGCCTTGAAAAATACCTGTTCCATCCGATGGGCCATCTCTTTGTGTAACTGCTGAATTGCATTTTTAGTTGCAATGTCTTGAGCTAGTACTTTATCTTTGGAAGCTTGAACTTCTTTATTAAGTTCCTCTATTCTTGATTCTAACTGTAAAGAAAATTATTTCCAGATTATTTTTATAGTTATAACAAACAGACCCCCAATATTTCAAATAAATATAAACAATGTAAACAAGCATAAAGATGGCAATGAATATACTTCAGCCATTGAAATCAAAAGTAAATGTTAGCAATGTTCTGATATATCAATAGAATTAAGTCAGAATAAATCTGAAGCAGATTCTGGTAAGATGGATGATAAGCTCTAGAGTAATTACCAATGAAATAATTCAGAAAATATCATGAAAAAAATTTTAATGTTACATATTTACTTAATGCAAAATAAAGCAGTAAATGAGACACAGGGAAACAAAACAGAAACATACAGAAAGACATACAGAAAACACAGACACAAAATTTTAAAATGGTAGACAAAAATCGAACTGTCAACAATAACATTAAATGAGAGTAAATAATCATATCAAAAGGCAGAGATCTTCAGACTGAAATAGAAAACAAGATCTAGACTGGAATAAAAAACAAAATGCTGTTTACAAAGGTACTTTAGGGAATTCCCTGTCAGTCCAGTGGTTAGGACTCTGTGCTTTCACTGCTGAGGGCGCGGGTTCAATCCCTGGTTGGAGAACTAAGATCCCACAAGCCACGCGGCACAGCCAAAAAAAAAAAAAATAAGGCACTTTAGATTCATCTCATAATGATAAAAGGGTCAATCCAGCAGAAAGGTATGGTAATTATAAATATACATGCACCTAGTAATATAGCACCAAAATACATGAATCAATAACTGACAGAAATGAAGAAGGAAGTGGACAATTCAATAATAACAGTTGGAGACTTCAATACCTCACTTTTAGTAATGAACAGAACTAGAAAGAAGATTAACAAGGAAATAGGAGACTTGAACACAACTATATAACAACTAAATCTAACACATCTATACAACATTCCACTCAGCAACAGCAGAATACACCTACTCCTCAAGTGAACATGAAATATTCTTCAGGACAGAACCTATGCTAGGTCTTAAAGCAAATCTCAATAAATTTAAAACACTGAAATCGCACAAAGTATCTTCCTTTGACAACCATAATGGAATGAAATTAGAACTCAGTAACACAGAGAGAAACTTGACAATTCATAAATATGTAAAAATTAAACAACATCTAAATAACCAAGGGAGAAATCAAAGAGAAAGTAGAAAATAAGGTGACAAATAAAGATACAACATATTTATGGGATGCAGCTAAAGCAGTGTTTAGAGGGAAATTTGTAGTTATAAACATCACTATTGAAAAACAAGAAAGGTCTCAAATCAAAACTAAACTTTCATCTTAAGACACTGGGAAAAAAAAAAAAAGAGCAAACTAAATCTAAAGCCGGTAAGAAAAAGGAAATAATAAAGATTAGAGAGGAAAGTAATGAAATAGAGAATAGGAAAATGGAGAAAAATCAACAAAACAAAAAATGCTTCTTTGAAATGATCAACAAAACTGACAAACCTTTAGCTAGATTGATCACAAGAATCAAAATGAAAGAGGGACATACTGACCTTACAGAAATAAATGAAATTTACAGAAATAACTAATTATGAATGAATATTATGAACAATTTAACTTAGAATAAATGCACAATTCTTAGAAAGACACAAACTACCAAAACTGGCTCAAGAAGAAATAGAAAATCTGTATAGACCTACACAGGCATATCTCAAGAGATACTGCGGGTTTAGTCCAGACCACTGTAATAAAGCAAGTACTGCAATAAAGCAAGTCACACAAATTTTTTGGTTTCCCAGTGCATATTAAATTTATGTATACACTATATTGTAGTCTTTTAAGTGTGCAACAGCATTATGTCTAAAAAAACTGTACATAATTAAAAAATACTTTATTGCTAAAAAATGCTAACCACCATCTGACAACACAGGTTGCCACAAATCTTCAATTTGTAAAAACCACAATATCTTATGAAGTGCAATATGGTGAAGTGCAATTTTAAAAAAGGCATGCTTGTAATAAGAGATTAAATTAGTAAAAAAAAAAAATTTTTAACTACCCACAAAGAAAAATTCAGGTCCAGGTGACTACATAGGTATATTCTACCAAACATTTAAATAATTAATACTAATTCTTCACAAATTGTCACCCCCCCAAAAAAAAGGAACACTTCCCAACTCAATCTATGAAGTCAGTACTATGCTGCACCAAAACCAAAGACATCACAAGAAAAGAAAGCTACAAGAGCAATAGCTCTTATGAATATAGGCAGAAAAATTCTCAACAAAATACTAGCAAAAACTTCTGCAATATATAAGAATTATACTCCATGACCAAAAGGGATTTATCACAGTAAAACTATGTTGGTTTAATATCCAAAAATCAGTTAATGTAATACACCATATCGACAGAACAAAAAACACATAATCATCTCAACAGATGTAGAAAAAGCATTTGGTAAAATTCAACACTCTTTCATGATAAAAATACTCAACAAACTAGGAATAAAAAGGAACTTCTTCAACCTGATAGCATCTATGAAAAGCCGACAGCTAACACCGTACTTAGTGGTGAAAGACAATGCTTCAGAAATGAGAGAAGGATATCTACTCTTGCCACTTCTACTCAACATTGTATTGGAGGGTCCAGCCAGGGAAATCAGGCAGGAGATGAAATAAAAAGCACTCAGATGAGAAAGGAAGAAGTAAAACTCTCTACATGCAGATGACATGATTTTATATATGGAAAATCCTAAGAAGTCTGCCAAAAAATTTTAGAACTAATAAACAAGTACAGCCAAGTTACAGAATATAATATAAAAAAATTGTTGGGACTTCCCTGGTGGCGCAGTGGTTAAGAATCCACCTGCCAATGCAGGGGACACGGGTTCAAGCCCGGGTCCGGGAAGATCCCACATGCTGCGGAACAACTAAGCCATGCGCCACAACTTCTGAGCCTGTGCTCTAGAGCCCACGACCCACAACTACTGAAGCCTGCACACCTAGAGCCCATGCTCCACAACAAGAGAAGCCACCGCAATGAGAAGCCCACGCACCACAACGAAGAGTAGTCCCCGCTTGCCACAACTAGAGAAAGCCTGCGTGCAGCAACGAAGAGTCAATGCAGCAAAATAAATAAATAAATAAAGTTTTATATACACTTGTAATTAACAATCTGAAAATGAAATTAAGAAAACAACTCCATTTACAATAGCATCAAAAAGAATAAACCACCTAGGAATAAATTTAATGAAGGAATTGCAAAAATTACTCCGAAAACTACAGAGCACTTTAGAAAGAAATTAAAGATCTAAATAAATGGGCAGATATCCCTTGTTTGTGAATTGAAAAACATAATATTGTTAAAATGGCAATACTCTCCAAATGAAGTCTACAGATCCAATGCAATCCCTAACAAACCCAGTTGGCTTCACTGTAGAATGACAAGTTGATAGTAAGATTCATATGGAAATACAAGAAACTGAGAATAGACTATCTTGGAAAAGAAGAACAAAATTTGAGAACTCACACTTCCCAATGTCAAAACTTACTGCAAAACAACAGAAATCAAGATAGTGTGGTATTAGCATAATGAAAGACAAATAGATTAATGAAACAGAACTGAGAGTCTAGAAATAAGTTGATGTATCAATTGGTTTTCAACAGGGATGCCAAGACCATTCAATAGAGGAAGAATACTCTTTTTAATAAATGGTTCTGGGACAACTGGATAGCCATATACAAAAGAATGAAGTTGTATATCATACAATATAAAAAAAATTAATTCAAAAAGAATCAAGACCTAAATATAAAAGCCTAATTATAAAACTCTTAGAGGAAAACATAGGAGTAAATCTTCATGATCGTGGATTTGGCAATGGAGTCTTACATATGACACCAACTGCACAAGCAATTAAAAGAAAAAATAGATAAAACTGGACATCATCAAAATTTAAAACTTTTGTCCAAGTACACTATCAAGAAAGTGAAAACAAATCCACAGAATGGGAGGAAATATTTGCAAATCATATATCTGATAAAGGTTTATAATCCAGAATATAAAAAGAACTATCACTACTCAACAATAAAAAAGTTTAAAAATGGGTAGAGAAAATACTTCCCTAGAAGTATCTATTTAAGATATACAAATGGCCAAGAAGCACAGGAAAAGATGTGTAATTTCATTGGTGATTAAGGAAATGCATATCAAAATCACGAGATACCATTTCACAACCATTAGGATGGCTATAATAAAGAAGTCCAATAATAACAAGCATTGGCAAGGATGTGGAGAAAATGAAACCCTCATACACTGCTGGTAGGAATATAAAATGGTGCAGCCACTTTGGAAAACAGTCTGCCAGCTCCTCAGTAAGTTAAACATAGAGTTATCATTTGACCCAACAATTCCACTCCTAGGTAGACACCCAAAAGAAATGAAAGCATATGTCCACACAAAAACTTCTACATCGCAGCATTATTAATAATAGCCAGAAAGTGCAAACAACCCAAATATCCATCAGATGATGAAAGGATAAATAAAATGTTGTATACCTATACAACAGAATATCACTTGGCCATTAATTTAAGTACTGATAGAAGCTACAATTTGATTGAAACCTTGAAAACATTACACTAAGTGAAAGAAGCCAGATATTATATGATTCCATTTATACAAAGGAAAAGGACACATATTATAGGATTCCATTTATATGAAGTGTTCAGAATTGGCAAATATACAGAGAGACAGAAAGTAGATTAGTTGTTCCCTAGGGCTGGGGGGAGACAGCTGTGAGGGGTTGGAGGGAAATGAGGAGTGACTACTAATGAATTCAGAGTTTTTTGTATGATAAAATTTTCTAAAATTGTGACAAACCCTGCACAACTAAAAACCACTGAACTGTATACTGAAATAAGTGAATTATATGGTATGTGAATTATACCTCAATAAAGCTGTTATAAAAAACCCTAAATATTAGTTTACATATAGTACATGTGTACTAATTATCCTTATGACAAAATTATTTAGAGCAACACTGTCCAATAGAAATATAAGCCACAATTTTTTTTCTTTTCATTTTTGCGGTACGCGGGCCTCTCACTGTTGTGGCCTCTCCCATTGTGGAGCACAGGCTCCGGACGCGCAGGCTCAGCAGTCATGGCTCACGGGACCAGCCGCTCCGCGGCATGTGGGGTCCTGCCAGACCGGGGCACGAACCCGTGTCCCCTGCATCGGCAGGCGGACTCTCAACCACTGCACCACCAGGGAAGCCCCTAAGCCACAATTTTTTAGTAGCCACATTTTAAAAAGCAAAAAGAAACAGGTGAAATAAATGTTTTATTAAATCCTATAAATATCATATCAACGTGTAATCAACATGAAAAACTGAGCCATTTTATCTTTTTTTGTACTAAGTCTTTGAAATTAAGTGTGTATATCACACTTACATCACCTCTTAATTTGGACTAGCCACCTTTTAGTGCTCAATAGCACTATGGCTAGTGGCTGCCATATTAAGTGGTGCAGATTCACAGATAAAATTAGGAAAGAAAACTCTGCTATACTGGCTAGCAAAAGAATGGTGAATCGAATTTTCTCTTTTAAAAAGGCACAACCACTAACAAGCTCATGAAAAGAACAGCTCTGGTTCACCTCCATCTATTTAGTCTGAAGTTTCTGGTCATCAGCAGTGACCTGCCTACCAAAATACAGATTCAGGCTACTATTAAGGCACCTTCACACTTTAAAATTCTAAGTTTGGTCTGCATGCAGTAGCCCTTTCCACACAAAAATCAGGATTAAATATGTAAAATTTTACAAATATGGTCACCTTCCAACTATGTAAAGGTTCATGAAGTATACCAAGGCATAGATAAGTGAAACTTGGTTTTTTATTGTATTACTACCAGCTGTTTACTTTTATTTTCATTATATAGCTTTCTGTGAAAGATGAGGCAAAAAGAAAGACTTTTAAGGCTACAATGTTTCTAATCCTTCCCACAGAAGAAAAAGCAGCTCAGAAAGATAAAGAGCAGCTGAGCTTTGCTACCAGTCTTGAATATGAACTTTGTCAGTCCAAGCATCACAGTACATTAAAAAAAAAAAAAGAAACAAAGAAAACAAAGATGAACTTTGTCAATCCAAGCATCACAGTACATTTAAAAAAAAGAAAAGAAAAAAAGAAAAGAAAGAAACAAAGAAAGAAAAGGAAAGGCTAGGGAAGCTAGCTCACCAGATAAAGTCTGAAGAGAGCCAGTCTTCAGTATAGTTCACAAAATACTGAGAATGGAAACATATTAAACTATAAGCTTGAAAACATTCTAATGCCAGATATAAACTTTTAAGTATATACTGCTTCTTCCAAAACAATCTATTTGACTGCCAAACAAATAGTCTTTCCCGCTCAGATTTCTATTATATATAGAATAGTCACACATATCACATAGAAATATTAATTTATATAAAACAAAAAGATCAACTATGATTCCCAGTTCATAAAAGACAATGCTTCACATACCAAGCAATCTTCTGCATTTAAAGTATGATTTAACTTACAGAACTTCAATTTACACACAAATATTCAGGAATGTATTTATTTTATATATTGAAGAACAGACTTTAAAGATTTTTGTCTTTTTACCTGTTTAATTGTGTTCATATGCTGCTTCTCTGTTTCTGTTCTTTTTTTTAGTTCTTCTCTTAAATTGTCTTTTTCTGAACAAATGTCTAAGATAAGTTCCTGATGCTTCTTATTTTCTTTAATTAACCTAAATATAAAAAGGCAGTATCAGTAAAACATAATTAAAAATGACAATGTGTAATATAATCTGTTTGCAGACTAGGGTGTAGATACCTATGATTAAGAAATGAAAATTCCCAAGTAGTCCTTTTGTAATGATATATTATACTTTACAAAACATTCTCTGGCCAGTCAGGCTATTAACTTTTTCCTAGAAATTTGTATTATTTCAAATTAAGAGAAAAATAATCAGATAAAGAAAACCACACACTTTTAAGTTTATGTCTACAGGCATATGAATTATGTAGTTCATCCCTTCAGCACTGGAATTCCTTCAGGTCAGTCAGTGGCAACCAGGGGCAATTGTTCCCCTCCAGGCATGTGTCTGGAGAAACTTTTTGGTAGCCACTACAGTGGTGAGGCTTGCTACTGGCTTCTTGTACACAGAGGCAGGGACGCTGCTAAACATCCTACAATGCACAGGATAGCCCCAGCATCAACAAAAAATGATCTGCCCCCATATGTCAATAGTGCTGTGGTTGAGAAATCTTGCTTTAGATTTCTAAAATATTTTAATGATATTCTTATAGTTACAAAAGTAGTCAATGTAAAATAATAAAGTTTGAGCAGAAATTTCATTTTGAGTTCCCTAGAAAAATATAAATAAAACCTTAAAAATTACCTGTAAAAGTACTCAGAACTATAAAGTAAGATACCTAAGAGGGTTAACAGCTAATATTTTAGGATTACTAGCAACAGCTATTATTTGACATTTATTGCACAATTACTATTTACTAAGTTTAGCTTTAAATGCATTATTTAACACTCAGGTCTATAATAAGTCTATGAAATTATTATTATGCTTTATGAATTTGAAAACAAACCAAAACTGAAGCCTAGAACTTATTCCAGGTTATATAGCTAGTAAGCGGTTGAACTGAGATTTGGACCCAGGTCTAATTCCTTGCCATCTTCTCCTTTGAAGATCCCTCATTTACTCAACAAATGCTCACTGGGTACCTACTATGTACCTATATTAGTCTATATGTTGGGGGTACATCAGCAAACTGTCCCTGCCCTCATGATGCTTACATTCTAACAGAGAAATTAAACAATAAATAGATATATAATGAAATACCAAGTTGTGATTAAGTTCTATTAAGAAAACTAAAGGAGGGCAAGAGGACAGGGAGAGTGACTTGAGCTGTGATTGTACATAAGGTAACCAGGACAGACCTCTCTGAGGAGGACAGTAATGCAGTGAGGAGGAAAGTCATGAAAATGTTTGGGAAAAGAAAAAAATGTGTAGCATGCAAGTTTCTTCAAGCCTTTTATGGCACAGGGGGTTAACTTTGTTTATGTACATGATTAAGGTGTACACTCAATTTGTTGCGAAAAACAACCTGAAACACAAAAATCCTGACTATACCTCGAAAGTAAACAATTTAGGGAGGGAGAAGTGAAGAACAGCAAGCCCTGAAATTGTTATTCTTACATGCCAAATGCATATCCTGTACACAAATAACTGTTCTTAATTAAGAATTCTGGTTGGGACCTTGGACAATAATATTGATGTTAGAAAATACAGGAATGGATGTATAAACAAAGCCATTTGAAAATACATGCATTCATGAAAATTTAAGCCAAAGGAACTGAAAGGTAGTTTTCTTTACAGAAAATTAAATGAAGGCAAAAGAAAAAAAATGAGTTGTTTTAGAGCTAACCTTAATCAGAAAGCATTTTATTTGAAATTTAAAATATTACATGTATGGGTTTCCCTGGTGGCACAGTGGTTGAGAGTCCGCCTGCCGATGCAGGGGACACAGGTTCGTGCCCCGGTCCGGGAGGATCCCACGTGCCGCGGAGCGGCTGGGCCGGTGAGCCATGGCCGCTGAGCCTGCGCATCCGGAGCCTGTGCTCCGCAATGGGAGAGGCCACAACCGTGAGAGGCCCGCGCACCCCAAAAAAAAAAAAAAAAAAAAAAAATTACATGTATAACAAAAAATTAACTTAGATTTAAAATAATATTTGACATTTTTACAATGCTTTAATGTCCTCAAAACAATCCCATCAGGTAAGTATTGTCCCCTCATAAAGATGAAAAAACCTTCGTCTTGGAGAGGTTGATTTAACTAAGGAAACAGAGCGTGCAAGTGGTAGTGGGAATCTTCCAACTCTGGGCTTCTGACCAGACCTGTGCTCACCCCAGTCTACCATGTGGTCACTGTTCTGACATGACGGAACAAAAGAGGAATTAATTTTCTACTGTATTCCTAATGTTTTTAGATAAATTTAATAACATGTAACTTGTTCATTTCAGATAACCACATTAAAAAAATCCACTGAAGCCAGACTAATTGGGTTTAACTTTGCCATTTACTAGCATGTGACCTGAAGCAAGTTACTTAACCTCTCTGTGCTTCAAGTACCTCATCTGTAAAATGGGAATAATAATAGTTCATACCACATAGGGTTGTTGTGAGGATTCCATGAGTTAATACATGTAAAGTGCCAGGCACATAATTAACAGCATTTAAGTGTTCCTGATATTATTATTAAATCTGTAACATCTTATAATTTACAAGAGAAGCTTGAAAGTGGTTAAGTCTCCAAATCTAAGGAAAGTAGAGGCATCAAGGATGATCTCAAAGGGAAGGTCTAAGAGATAAGCACAGGTAACAGGAAAATGAGGAAGTTACCCTAAAAAGCAAGAATGGCAGAAATACTGATGGTTCAAGTATAAAATCACAGTTTTTTCAATAATAGCAGCATTCCAGTAAAGTTATGAGGAGTAGCTGACATTGGTTTTTGCATAGTATTAAGAAAGGTATTAGATTCTCAAGAGATATTTGTACACTCATGTTAACAGCAACATTATTCACACTAGCCAAAAGGTAGAAGCAACCCAAATGTCCACTGATGGATGAACAGATAACAAAATGTGGTATGTATACATACAATGGAATATTATTCAACCCTAAAAAGGAAGGAAGCTCTGACACAGGCTACAATATGGATGAACCTTGAGGACATCTGCTAAGTGAAATAAGCCAGCCACAAAACGGCAAATAGTATCAAAAGCAGTTAAACTCTTAGAAACAAAGTAGAATGGTAGTTACCAGGGGCTGGGGCAGGGGGAAACAGGGAGCTGTTGTTTAATAGGTATAGAATTTCAGATTTGTAAGATGAAAAAGCTATGGAGATCGGTTGTACAATAATGTGAATATACTTAACACTACCAAACTGCACACATTTAAAAATGTTTAAGATGGTAAATTTTATGTTATGTGTATTTTATCACAATTGAAAAATAAAAAAATAGAAAAAAGAAGGGCTCTGGATGCTGAGATTAAAATTCATTGGGTAAACCAATGAAGGGTGAGCTGGCTTGGGGAAGACTGATCTACTGATAATCTGGAAGAGTAAACTAGAAGCAAGGAGATCATTAAAAGTCAATTGCATATCAAGCAATATTTGGATTATGGTATATTTTCCTCTGTCATCCTCCTCTAGCGTGTAGATTTCCTCCTCCCCTTTCTCTACACACACCCCTCCCATTCCAAAAATTTTTTTACCATTCCAAAAATTTTTTTAAAGTATCACTTTTTTAAAAAGAGAATCCGTCTGTATTTTAGTGAAGGCTAGCAAGTTTTATTTTCCTTTATTAAAGGTTATAGGAGTACCTAAACATATGCATCACTCACATATATAAATTTAAAACAAAGAGTGATATAATATTATTAGGAAAAGATAAAATGAAATTAAACTGTTGTTAAAATAGAAATTAACTCCATAAATCCAAGAGAAGTCTAGAAACAACTATGTTCTTATTTATTGAATGACACTAGACCAATTCTTCTGTTCTAATTTTAATTTTTTAAACCAATGAATTTACAGTGGGAATTTTAAAAAAATTTTTTGAATTTTATAACTTGTCATTCCTCTTGAATTTATCTTAATTCTGACATTATGTTTTACATTCTTTCAAAACTGGAAAATTTGAAAGAATATAAATTTATTTCTCTTTATAAATCTTTCTAGATCTTTAATAAACTAACACTTTAATAAAACATTTATTCTTTTAAACTTATACACTAAGACATATGTAAAACAGAAATTTTGAATCATATTCAAAACAGTGCCTTTATACATAGATACATGTTTCTATATATGCTAATGTATTTGACATAGGTATATTATATATAACTCTCATAAAAACACTGTTTATCTATTATTTCTAAAATAATGAAAATACAATACCACATTCTAAGAAAAAACAGAGTTATATATTAAATAACTAGGCAAACTTAACATCTGCTCAACTACATCTGCATGGCTCTATTGTGGAAATAAAAGTAGATAAAATGATACCTTCCTTTAAAGAATTCAATCTTTAATCCCTGTGGAAAAAAATAACCTGAAAGAATAAAACACTTACTTCTTTATGGTATGCTCCTGCTGCAAATGCTTATCTTGCACACACTTTTCAAACATAACTAATGCATTTTCTCCCTTATTCATTCCATTTGGTAGTCGGTGTTCTTTTGCAAACTCAGTAGATAAGAGCTCAGATTCTATTTCTTCCAACAAATCCTCTGATGGTGAAACATTCTTCATTTTTGAAATAAGTTTCTTGGTGCAGTCTGTATCATAAGGACTTTCTGAATAGGTCTTTTGATTAGCTGCTTCTGTAAATGTAGATGACCTTAATTCCGCCAATATTTGTGTTACTGTTTGTTCTGCTTCATTTGTTTTCAAAACTTGCTTTGTAAAATCTCCACCAGGAAAATTAGCTATTTGTTCAGAATTTTCTGGGCATATGTCTGTTTTAGCACAGGAATCCTCACCTCTACCATGATCTGGAATATAATTTTCCTGTGTTTCAGTTTGATTATTGTGTTCACTGGGCTGACATAAAGTTTTATCAAACTTTAATGACAACAGTTTGGACTCATTTTCTAAGCTGCTGTTTTCATCACCAGAAAACGAATTGCATGAGTCTTCCTTTATTTCAGATGTTTTCTCAATATTTTGATCAGAGGAAATGGAGGCTATGTGCTCTGTTTCTGACATGCTGACTGGCACCAATTCACTTTGCATCTCTTCAAAGCTGTTCCTGATCTTCGTTTTACATCTGAGAAAGTCAAAACATAAATTTTTTTTAAAAAGGTTTTTTAAACCAAGACCCCATATATATTTGCACACATTCCATGATGTGGAAAATCTAAGGCCGCACATTTTACCACTAATAATTCTTTAAAAATTCTTTCCTTGGGTGGGGGTGGGGGGAAGAATAGAACAGCTGACCCACGTGAGCCACAACCAGTCAGGTGCTACATAGGCTCATTCTCTTTTCTCCTTCAGTCCAGTCCTACAACTTCACTTCAGTTGCAGTTTGGCATTCCCCAATCACCCCCATAAGATGTTGGGTATGGAATGATACTAATAACAGGAAGATTAGCGCCCAAGAATTGTTTAGAATTCCTTCAGCTCCACAAAGGGAAAAAGACTACCTAAAGAATTTGTAAGAAACTATTGGGGAAATAAGATAGCAATGAAAACACTAGGCAAGAAATTACAAATCAAGATAATAAAACAATGTACATTAACAATGATAAATATTTACTGCAAAAGGAAAACTAAACAATAACAAAACACAGCTACCTATAGCCCAGACACCTAGAGCTGAGCTGAAAGAAGTCAGGGTGTAAAGGATCCCTGACAGGAATTCATTTTTCACCCAGGGTTGCAGGAAGTATCATGGCGATTTCCAAACATTCTCGTCAAGAACACACAATGTTCAGTACAACTCAAACGGACCTCATATACATTGCTTAGGTCATAAAAGAAACATTTACAAAACTAATTCAACAATGTTAAAATATATTTTATGCTGTTTATGAGCGTTACTAATCTAGCTATTTTCTGAAAATTAGTCAACTTTAAAAATTATCCTGAGACAGAAAAATAAAAACATTCCAGCAATCTTGATGAAGAAGAATTGTCAACTTCTTTTGTCAGACATCAACCAAGCATGTACTGGAGTCATGTGAGGTTGGATAAAAATGTGGGCAGATCATAGTTTTGAAAGAAACTAGGGAAAAAATACTTCCAGATGTAAGGTATAAATGGAAAACAGAAAGACTAATATTTGAATAAAAGAAAGATACATGTTTACGTTGGTCTGTGGTGAAGGTGGTGGTCAGAGGATGGTGAAAAAGGGTAAGAGAAGATGGTCAGGTAGAATCCTCAGAATGATATGCAGGAGTGAAGGTTGTTAAGAAGGACGATAAATCATGACAGACTTGTATACTTGATATACCATAGAATTTCTAGCACATACTAGGTTTTCAAATATTTGTGGAATTAAAGCAAGAAGTAATATGAGAAAAGCAGTATTTGAGGACTAGGAATGCAGAAAATGGGAAGAATAATTCTAAGAAAGGAAAGAAAACCAGCTTGTTTGTTAAATACTCTGGCGTCGACTAATACAGACGTTGGCCTTAATACTATAAATTACCTACCTGTAAAACATATTTCCAAACAATGAAACAAATTATCATTATTATCTTGCTGCATATATTGCATACTAAGACAAAGTCCACACTAGCAATAAAGGTTTGGTTTAGGCAATACAAATAAATGCAGTAACAAAAAGCCTTGTGAGTATGCTGTACTCCAAATCTAGGACAAGGTAAAATAATTCTCAAACAGGGACATTAGCCGCCTACATTACCTTCCTCAAAGTAACTAATTTCAAGATACAACTTGTGAACGTGTTGCTGCTGAATTTGAAATCTTAATTTAGAAACATAACTAGTCAATGCTATGTGATATCTACTTAAGTCAAATTCAGAGCTGACCAAATGTAATGGAAAGCAGATAAAGAATCTATTTAAAAGAGAATGAGTCTACGAAGGCATTGTGACTCTCCAGCATAGATAGCAAGTGAAAAAAACCTCTCATCTGAGAACTCTTAAGGCTCTTGCCTGTGCACCATGCTTTGGGAACAGAAAAGCATTACGCAAACAATCGTTATCTTCTCATCCAGCTTTCATATTCCCCAGGGTTCAGTCCTCAACTTTATTTTCCTTCCCAGAATTCATCCACTTTGATAACTTAAACCAAAAACTCACAGTTGATGCCCACTTTAATTATTTTCATTCCTGTGCTCTTGAGTTACAGATAATGAATTATCTCTTTGTCTTCACTCTATCTCTACATAAAATAAAATCTCAAATGAATACAGGCATTTCCAATGGCTCAACTCAAAAATGGTTAAATCCAAAATCATAACAATAGCTCCTAAAATTGAGTACCCCCAGATAATCTTTTTTTTATTTCTGTCAATGGTATCATTTTTCTTAGTCATGACTCCTTCCTTTCCTTTAGCCTCATATTCTTTTACTAATTTCATGTCTCCTGCAATTATACCCTCCTTTCTACTGTCACTGTCCCCAACCTGCAACCCAACCCAGGCCTGATAACTTCCTACCCGGAACACTGAATTGTTGGTTTCTCAGTCTCACTCCATTCCTCCCTCCTGCGTCACCCAATCCAGAGAAGGGGTTGAAGAATATACTACATTGGCTCTGCCAAAGGGGAACAGGAGCTGCCCTATGAAGCAAGTCCTCAATGGCACAAGGGTCCACGGAGCTACAACACTGCCCCCCAGAAATCCACACATACCACCTCCAGAGACCACCATCAAATACAACCAGACGGACCAGAGTAAGGCCAGAGCTATCTCTTCCCTCTTTAAAGTTTCAGAGAGTGAGAACTCTGCCTCCACTGGCTGGTTTTCTTCCCCCAACTCCAAAAGGGCTAGTTAGAGAAAGGAGAGGGAACATATTTTAGAGCCAAATTACACCTCTTCTTCTTTAATCCAAGCAGCTGGGAACTAACAGCTTCAACACTTCTTTAGGGAGATGATAGAGTTTATGATTAACATTTTTTGTTGCTTTTGTTTTGTAAGCGATTGAAACCTGTCTTAATTTCTGGAATAAGTTTTTTCTGGTTATCAAAAGTGGCAGCAAAAGAGTTATGACATCAAACCAAGACATTATTGAAGGATTGCACCTCAGAGGGAAGTGGAGGGGATGTGAGCATTTCATGTTTATACCTCAGAGTTGCAATTCCTCAATAAACCAGTTGTAGTATTTTTCCAATCTTATCTCTCAACACATTCCTAAAATCCTAGTACTTCACTATAGTATTATACTTTGCCAGTCCCTGACCAGTCTATTCAAGATTCCTCCAAACAGTGTGCTCATTAACATTTCCATGGCTTTGCTCTAATCTAGAACATTCTTCCCTTCAGTCTATCTAGAGCCTAATTATATTTAAAGGACGTATTCTAAGGCCACATTTTCCTTCAAATTTTCCCTCATGAGAAGTACAAAAATAATCTCTCATGTAAATGAAAACATACTTCATTTATACTCATCAGGTACATAGTAGCAGCCTTCCTTGTGACGTTTCTTTTTTTGTTTATTTTTTTGTTTTGTTTTTTTTTCCTTGTGACATTTCTGAACAGCCTTTTAAATGATCTCTTGCAAAGAAGAGGAACCACGCTCTGAACTGAATCAAACTTCTTAAATCTCAAGCAATATAATAGTAATAATAAATAGATAAATAAATCTAACAAATATATTCTCTACTACCTTTACAGTCATTCTTGCAAAGGCTGTTCAGTGGTTCTCAGTGAGGGTGGGATTGGGTTTACACAATGAGCTGGGGGGGGGGTTGAAGGACATTTAGAAGGTGGGAACCAGGTTGTAAGAAGACTTGTCATGTGTAAGACAGTACAGAACAACAAAAAGGTCTCATTCTGCTGGATATTCATCTAGGTAAAAAAAAAAAAAAAAAAAAACTTTTTATAATTACCTCAGCTTGGACTGTTTTACGTATTATCCTCCTGTAAATTAAAGAAGGCTTAGTTCAACCTCAAAAGACAAGCACTGGGCTTCCCTGGTGGCGCAGTGGTTGAGAGTCCGCCTGCCGATGCAGGGGACATGGGTTCGTGCCCCGGTCCAGGAGGATCCCACGTGCCACGGAGCGGCTGGGCCCGTGAGCCATGGCCACTGAGCCTGTGCGTCCGGAGCCTGTGCTCCGCAACGGGAGAGTCCACAGCAGTGAGAGACCCGCGTACCGCAAAAAAAAAAAAAAAAAAAAAGACAAGCACTTTCTATACTGTTGCTCAGTAATATGGCCATGACCTTTGAAAAAACTCTTCAGATGAACTGGCATCTGAGAATCACTTAACTTGCAAACATAGTTTTCTGATGCTCAAATGAATACTGATTGGAGGCAAAAGAAAAAGGAGAGAAGTTAAAGAAGATTTATGTGTATATATGTAAAAAGCCATCACTAAAGAGTAAATAACTGTACAAGAATGGTGCGGGGAAGAGAGCCATGATGAGCTTGATTGTCCACGATTAACCAGGGGAAAAAAGAGTCAGCTGACTCCTCTTGTGGGCCTCCAGTTGGCAATGGTGATATAGGCCAATTTGGCTGCTGTCCAAGTTTTTTCTTAGGGGTGGGGGTAGTTATCATTAAAGCTACTGAGGACTGAATAGCCTAGAAGTAGATTAAAGGTGTAGGATGTAAAACTAGACATTTGTTTACAAGATTGTTTTAATTAAGAAGTGCTTGTATAAATCAAATTCACACTCATGTATATAGATATAGCGACTACAATTACAGATTACAATATCTGTTGCTTTTTTGAGGTAAGAAGTAACACAGGTTATTTGACTTTTTAGTAACTCTTACTCATTAGGGGAAAATACTGTATTTAAATTTAGCAGTCACAAAATTCCTCTTAATTCAAGCACTATTTTCCCCCCTGAGAGTTGTTTCTGTTTCTGACACAGTACTACAGGACCAATTCACACTTCAAAATTGTTTCAGTGGAGTGAGAAGTGGTTTCGCTCTTACTGGAGCTCGTCAGCTGTAGGCAACTGGTAGAGAAACATTTACTTGCCTTAAAGCCAACCATTATCCACCTTGGATTTTATTTCTTAATCAAAGAACTAGCAATTCTACAAAATTATTTCCAAGCAAAAAGCCTTATAAACGAAAACACTGTCTTTAACAGCTTTTAGTACTATTTCTTGTTTCTCAGTAAACAGCAGTATAAACAACAACAACAAAAGAACTTAAGCTTATTCAATAAATGCAAATACAAATGAATCCAATCCACAGATATTTGGTAATAGATTATCAAACATACAAGCCTCATACAAAAGTACCAAGCCAGAAATACATTTCTAAACTAGATATTAATTCATTCATTCACCAAATATGTATTGAGCATGTAATTATGTTCAGGCACTGTTCTATGTGTTGGGAACACAGCAGTGAATAAAACAGATATCTCTTCTGGAGTTTACACTCTGGTGTAGTGGACCAACATATAAAATCTATGTTAAATCTTTTGCTCTTGTGTTTACAGTATTTTAATTTGAAGGTCTGTCAGCGTTCCATCAGAAGCTGTATAAGATATGCATGAGTGTCTAAGTCCAAATGCATGAGTGTTTAAGTCCCACAGAAACATGTGACTCAGTTCAGCATAAGTGTTACTTACAACAAACTAAAAATTTTAAACTTTAAAAATTTTAAATTTTAAAAAGTCTCAAATAATACCAGCTATAGCTTCTCAAATAATGTCCATTAAGATAAGCAAGTTGAGCCTGTGAGGGCACTCCTGTTCTTCAATATAATGGTTTACTGTCCTTTGAAGGAAAAGTAAGTACATCCAAAGGTCTTTTACACACTCCTCGAATACACTCTGAAAGCAGCATAAACAAAATAATGACCTATCTTTCCGACCAGTTGTAACAAGGTTCTAAAACGGCAATTAAAATCAGAAGCAATTAAAAACTGGTTATTTCAAAGAACTCTAGTTTTACCAAAAGTAAGATATATTTATAAAGTAGTCACATTGTAACTAAGCTTTTGGGTAAAATTTAATATACCGAGTTTCCTTTACGTGAAACATTATTACTTGCTCTTAAAAGTTGTCTTTAGTCCACTAGGTTAAAAAGCATATTATATGAGGCCAAGGTCAATTATCCCTGTAGGGATTTGTTTAGTTTTGCAACCAAGGGTTAGGGCATTGTGAATTTTACAGTGTGTACACTATATCACCAAAAAAAAAAAAAAAGATGTTGAAAAGACTCAGGGCAATAGATGCAGCAGGATACCCCACCCCCACCCCAAACAGTACCAAATCCTGTGACATGAAAACAGAAGACATTACAGTCCATCAAGATTCCAGGAAAAAGAGAGTAAGTAGCCACATCATACATCACATTATCAAGTATATGTCATATTATCAGTTTCGTATCTTAGATCCATGCAATTTTATGTATCTCTAATAGTAAGTTTTAAAATAGAAAAAATTTTAATATAGAAATCTCAGTTTGAAGCTACTTGTACAGAGCTCACCAAATGAACTTTAATAAGTCTAAGAAGACATGAAAAGTATTTTCAGCTAATTTCCCCCCCAAATCTGAAAGCTTAAAAAAAAAGAGGGGGCGGTAATTGGCCTATAGCTCCCTTTTCAAAAAGGAAGGCTAATAACTTAAAAAAAAAATTAAGTTTTAAGTCTGCCTTATATTATATTAAGAAGTTCTGGTTAATGTTTAAATTTTGAAGCCAACTTTGGCCTGGGCTTGGTTAATTTGGTACAATGTAGTTTACCAAAAAAATAAATTATTCATTAGCTACTACATAATCATCCCTGAAATAGACTTAACAGTTCATGTGCCTTAATGACTGACAACTATACTCACAATCCAATCAATACTTTGCTGGGTTTGATTTCCACTTTGTGTCTATTGCCCCTTCATGCCAATACTTTTTCTTTTGTTTACTTCTTAGCCCAAATAGATTTTTAAAATCTCAGTAGCTGAGAAATAAATTTCAAAGGTGACATTTGCAATAATATGATAAGATTACAGGGTTAATTTGCAAATTTAAATTATCTATGCTCCCAAGGTTGCCCTGAAACGACACTGAGCATAACATTCCCAACACTGCAAGCAGCGTGACATGTTTATGAGAAACTCAAGAATCAGCTTTAATTATTTAAAGCTAGAGATAAGGGATAAAAGAAAGACCTAAATTTTACTGAAAGAAAAGAAACAGAACTTCAGGTTAAGCAGTCTTACTTTAACATGAAACTGTTAAATGAATTTGAAAAACTAGCACAAATTAGGGAAAGATGATTCCCTTCAAAGGGAAAGATGATTTTTCTAAATCTCTAAATAAAAGCTGCTTCAACCTATCATCTCTTCCTAAAGAGTGAGTATACTTCACTGTTTTACCTTCATTCCAGGATGTCAGCATGTAGCTGTAAATAGATGGTTTTAAAGTGAATAAGTAATCATTATCAGCTATGCTGTTACTGTACAGCATCAAAGAACAACTCTTTAGTTTATGGTTGAAGGAACTAAAAGGTTAAAGAGTGGTTACTGTGCTACACCACTCCTTTCCTGTTAGCAGCGAACAAGCCTCTGAAATACCAATGAAACTCTAAGGAATCTCCACTGTTTAAAGAAACCTCTGAGTTTATATCCAGGTATCAGGAATTAGACAAGGTCTTAAAAAGAATAAAACCAATATAAACACAATCCAGGCATTTCCAGGTAGAATCTTCAGTAATTATACATGCTTGCTTATTACAATGTAATAAGGAGTTTTAATTCTTTATACTGCAAAATTTGTTAATCACTCAATATTGTCACTGAATTTAAAATAAAAGACCAAAAAGGAAGAAAAAAAAAGAGAGGCCAATCATCACTGTTTTCTATTTGTGTAATGATGGGTAAAAAATTGGAAAGTAGCTGTACAGAGACGAGCAGACTTTATACACAAGCAGATAGTTCAGTTTTACTATCAATATCTCTTGAACCTTAACCTTTCCCACACACTGCAAATATGACAGTGTAGTTAGTAGTTGGGAAGGCTGCACCCACAACTACCATACCTAAACACTTAATAGATTTTTCTTTTTGAGTGACTACCAGCACACCTCTTGAAACACTTCCACTAATTTGCCGCACAATTTCCTTAGAAAAACTCCCAACCTATCATTTCGGAAAAAATAACAAAGCTAGGCATCAAAGGTACGTTACACACGCATACACGGAGAAAACTGCCAAACGCCTGGGGCTGCATGGCCTTCTAAACAACGCTCCTAAGTAACAAGATTATCATGTCAAAGGTAATCCAAATGTTCCAAATCCAGGCCTCTTTCCTCAAAACAATATCAAAATGTAAATATTAGCTCAAGTTATTAAACTGTTAACAGCCAAGCAATAATTACACCTGTTCCCCAAGACTGCTACTAGGGAACATGTAGAAGGGGTTTTACCATTTTACAAGTTTGAGAGAGGCTCAAATTTGAAACATGATCCTTACCAACCAAGGTTTATCAAATGCCTTGATGTCCTTGGAAAAAAGGCAACATAAACACCAAGAACGATTTCTCTCATATCCACAATCCCAAAGAATCGTCTCTAAATTACTTAAAATCACAGTAATGGAAGTGTTTGGAAGAGAGTTTAAAAAGTCGCTAACAGTCAACATAAAACACATACACAGTGAACTTGGAGAGGAAAGGAGAAATAGGCGACTGAGTCTATGAGGGATGGCCGAGCAGGTAGGGCTTAGCTACAGTTCGCATTAGGAGACCGGGCAAGCGGCCCAAGTTCCGCCGCTCTCTAGGCACCACTCTGGAGGCGCGGCCCTCACGGCCCCCGGCGACCCCTCGGCCGCCTCCTGCCCCGGCGCCCGGGACTGAGGAAGGGAGGCAGGGAGAGGAGGGGATTCCGAACTCCTTCCCCCAGCGCTCGCCTCGCCCCCTAGAGAAGCCAGGCAGGGAGCCGCCCCGGGACCTGCAAGACGGGGCGGAAGGTGGGCACGACGGCGCGTAAGGTGGGCACGACGGAGCGGAAGGTGAGCAGCCCGCCGCGCCGCCACCGCGACTCCCCGGCCCGCCCCTGGCATCCCTCAGGCACTTACCCCACTTCTTCGAGCCTTAGGCCACACCCCTAAAGAGGCCATTGGAATTCCCGCGTAGGGGCCAACTTCTCCATAACGGGGTCCAGAAGAACAGGAAGTGCAGGGGCGGGGGGCAGCGATGAGTAACAGGGCCGACACCAAGCTCCCTCCGCCGCGACTTCCCCAAGCCCCCGCAGAGCTGACACATCAACAAAGATGGCGGCGACGCTGAAGCCGGCCCCACTACAGCTGAGGGGGCGGGGCTCCCTGGAGGAGCCAATCAGCACGGCGCGGGCGGCGTGACGCGACGCCCCTTGGTGCCTGGGTAACCTGTCTGCAGTGGGCGGGGCCGGCGCAGCGCTGTCTCCTACCCCGGGAGCGCCAGGCACGAGAGTTACACTTACTGGGCACCCCACCACCACCCCGCATCCCCGGTCGACCCGGCGAACCGGTTCTCCCGCCTCTAGTTCCGTCCTATCTCTCACGCCCCTCCCCGGCCCAAGCAGGTTATTGCTTCCTGTAGAGCGTGCTCCTTGGAGATGTTCCCTCTGAACCCTTTGGCCCTTACTCATCATAGTCAGGGACATAAAGTTATAAAAATGAGAATTCAAAATTGTGACTTGCAAGCTTTGATGCGTGTCTTGCACCTGACGTGGGCGGCGTCAGCAAGAGCAGCCTACCTGCCCGTCAGACAGTTCATCTCTGGGAGAGGTTCTGGGGGTTTCCAGAACACCGCGTTCCGAGTCCACCACGCGGCCCCTACTGCCATTGTTTAATAATAAACTGTTGGTGCGTTCGTCGCCTGTACTGCACTGTGAGCCTTGAGCGCTGGAAGTGTCCTCATCCCCGCACGCAGCGTCGGGGTTGACATGCTGGAGCAGCTCAATAATTAGCAAAAAACTTTAAAAAGTGTACTGGGGGCCGGGGTGGGTGGAGGATGTGTATTCAATATAGTTGCCTAATCGCGTCCTGAGAAGTAAGGTGAGAGCAGTTTCAGTCTGGAGGGTTTGCAAACCTACTCTGTCCAGTTAAGTGCTGTTCTTTAAGATATCTTACATACAACTCCTGCGTGAATATAGTTGATTCTGACAAGTCAATTCAAGAGTTTATAAAGAAAAACTTCTTTTTCGGTTAAACTTCTTTGATACTAACTGCTGGTAAAACAAAAACAAAAACCTAAAAAACAAAACCAAAAAACAAACCCCACTTTAAAAAATTCAACATTTTGTAACTCTGTTCCTCTTTCCTTTCAACAGGAAATGGCACCTCCCTCCTTAAATGAAGATACTGATTAAAGCACATTATGCAGTGAAAGTGTGACAGGAAAGAAATTATTTGGCTTTTTTTGTTGTTGTTGGCTGGTTGGGTCTTCGCTGCTGTGCGCGGGCTTTCTTTAGTTGCTGAGAGCGGGGGCTACTCTTCCTTGCCACGCGTGGACTTCTCATTACGGTGGCTTCTCTTGTTGTGAAGAACAGTCTCTAGGCGTGCAGGCTTCAGTAGTTGTGACCCGTGGGCTCAGTAGTTGTGGCTTGCAGGCTCTAGAGCACAGGCCCAGTGGTTGCAGCACACAGGCTATGTGGGATCTTCCTGGAGCAGGGCTCGAACCTGTGTCCCCTGCATTGGCAGGGGGATTCTTAACCACTGAGCCACCAGGGAAGTCCCAAGAAATGATTTGACTTTTAAACAATAAATTGACCAAATATTCCTACTGAGATGTTATTCCAAGGGGGAAAATTAAAAAAGAAACTTTAAGCTTTTTCAGTGTGCATATTGTCAGTAATAACATTCATACTGTTATTTCTGAAATATATTAGTATAAAGCGTATATGTAATCCTTGGGAACCAAGATTTTCAGTATTGGAGAAAGGAAATACACATATAAAAATCAAAGAAATTAAGTAAAAATACTACAATCCTAAATTTGAATTTAGAAATATCAGTATGAACTCATGGCACATTTCATTTCCATTTAAAAAAAAGGCTGTCCACTGGAAAGGCCTAGAACAATGATCAACCCAATGCACACCCCTATTCTCCTATCATCTCTAAATATAATTTACCTCTAAAAGTCACCTGGGATCCTTGAAGCTCAAGGGCTAAATCTACATCTGGGGCAAGAAATGTACAAGAAAGCCTAGGACATTTTGGTTGTATCAGAAAGCAAAGAAGAAAGCAAAGATCATAGGAGTTGTGTCAAAAAGATTCAGGAGGCAATTCAAAGGTGTTCCCACTGGTCAAAGATAGGACAATTTTAGCATTCAAAAATAACAGCAATAGAGATACATCTACCAGGTTAAAAATCAATGAGCGTTGATTTTTTAAAATGTCATTGGTCACCTTTGGAGGATGCCAAGGAATCATCACATTCTGAAAACTGATAAAAGAATAAAGCATCCTACCTTTTCTGTTACAAACTGAATCTCAGTCAAGTAGTTGATGTGAGAAAGTTCTTTATAGAATTTCAGGTAATAAATGCAGAGGAAAAGATAGACTATCACCATTTTGGAAACCCTAGTGAAATAATGTATCCAGGTAATGATCATCAGTGAATCCAGAATCATTAGATGAAAAGCTGACTGGAAACTTTACAGTGCATGGATAGGTCTGACAACATTAGAACCTGCTAAGTTAATTTTAATATCCCCCAAAGAGAAAGGACTAGATATTAAGTGTCTTCTGATGTGGAGCAATAGAGGAACACACCACCTGTGAAGTATTCTTGCTAGAGAGGATGTAATCAACAAAATTGTGAGAAAAACTGCAGTTACTTCAATACATAAGCTGCAAGAAATCTCTTTAAAATACATCACTGAATGCAAATGTAGGATCTGATTTGACCATACCAACTGTTAAAAATCATTTGAGACTATCTGGAAATTTTCAATACTAATTTGATGACATTAGGAAACTATTTTTAAAGGTGGGATAAATTTTGGTGATTTTTTTAAGTCATAATCTTTTAAAAATACATCCTTAAATATATATGGATGTAAAGATACAATGTCCCAGAAAGTAAGAACGTGCTCAAAAAAATAAAAACAACCCCACATTGATGGGAGTATGTCAAAGGAGAACAAAAAAGAACTGAAGGGACTTCCCTGGTGGCGCAGTGGTTAAGAATCCACCTGCCAACGCAGCGGACACAGGTTCGATCCCTGGTCTAGGAAGATCCCACATGCCACGGAGCAACTAAGCCCATGGGCCACAACTCCTGAGCCTGCTCTCTAGAGCCCACGAGCCACAACTACTGAGCCTGCGTACCACAACTACTGAAGCCCGAGTGCCTAGAGCCCGTGCTCCGCAACAAGAGAAGCCACCGCAATGAGAAGCCCACGCACCACAACAAAGAGTATCCCCCACTCGCCGCAACTAGAGAAAGCCCATGCGCAGCACAAAGACCCAATGCAGCCAAAAATAAATAAATAAAATAAATAAATTTATAAAAAAAGAAGGACTGAAGGAGCTTCCAATGGCCCTAGTTGGAATTTGAGCAAGGAAATAAAGTAGTATTGGATTATAACCCAAAGTATAAAATAAATATCTATGAGTTCCTACTGATAGAGATGATTGAATATATTAATAAATAGAAGAGGCGAGACAAATCTCCCATGCAAAAGAATTTTAAATAGGGACTTCCCTGGTGGCACAGTGGTTAAGAATCCGCCTGCCAATGCAGGGGACACGGGTTCGAGCCCTGCTCTGGGAACGTCCCACATGCCGCAGAACAACTAAGCCCATGCAGCCCACCTACTGAGCCTGCGCTCTAGAGCCCGCTAGCCACAACTACTGAAGCCTGCATGTCTAGAGCCTGTGCTCCGCAACAAGAGAAGCCACCACAATGAGAAGCCCACACACCACAACGAAGAGTAGCCCCTGCTCACCGCAACTAGAGATAGCCCTCACACAGCAACGCAGACCCAATGCAGCTAAAAATAAATAAATTTATATTTAAAAAATTCTAAATAATTTCTGTAAGTACTCTGCCCTTAAGGAAGTGAAGCATAACCCTCTTTCTTTAGGTGTAGACTGCATATAATGACTTCTTCCAAAGTGTATAGTATGTAAAGGGAGGGGGAAAAAGTAACTTTATAGTAGGGAAACCTGACAAGTACTAGCCAGGTGATCATGGAAAATATCAACTGTCATAAATCATGCTCATAGAATGTACCCTTCATATGATGCTATTGGAATGACACTTTACCTCTGTAGTCTTCCTGCTAATAACCCATAACTACTCTCTTAACATGAGAAAAATATCAGACCAATTCCATCAATGGGGCATCATACAAAAATGCCTCACCATTACTCCTGGAAGCTGGGAAGGCCATCAAAACACGGATAGTCTGAAAAACTGCCACAGCCAAGAGCCTAAGGAGACATGACAACTAAATAAGTGTGTTATCCTGAATGGGATCCTGGCTCAGAAGAAGGACAGTAAGTAAACACTACGAAAATCTAAATAAAATATGGACTTTAGTAATAATGTATCAATATTGGTTCCTTAATTGTAACAAACATATCCTACTAATATAATGTTACTAATAAGGAAAACTGGGTGTGGCTTATGTGGGAATTCTCCATACTGTCTTCTCAGTCTATTTGTATTTCTAAAACTGTTCTAAAAATAAAATCTATTAAAAAGAAAACAATATACAAGTCGGAATTTGCCTCAAAACAATGGATGGAGAGTATGTGGGGTACAGATGCAGACAAGATTGACCGTAAATTGATAATATTGAACTGGGTGATGATTACATAAGGGTACCCTTTTTCTTCTGAATTTTTTTAAAGGTCATAGTTCAAAAAATAGCTAAAAATATTTTTTCTTTGAGCAACATCAACCTATAATCACGTGCTCTCAGGGCAAACTGTGATCACGTGTACCTGGTTTCCACGTGCAGGCAGAAGCAGTGGATTGATTTGAGAAAACTTCTTAAGACTTTAAGTGATTAATATAACTCAAGTGACCCTTGCGGAGACAAGGTCTGCATTTTTGCCCTTGGAGTTTCCAGGGACTCCTTTCTAGAAAAAGCAAAAACGACTATCTTAAGTTTCCGCAGTGGACCTCCCTCTGACCCTGCAGCTTTTGTACCAACGTTAGAGCACAAAAATGGCGCCGCCAGGCCCAGGGCGCAGCTCCCAACGCGCAGAGAGCTCACGTCGCCGCAGCGGCAGCACGTCGCCGCAGCGGCAGCACGTCGCCGCAGCGGCA